AAAAAATCACGTGGCCACGTGACATAAGCAGACGGAGCCATGTCCTAATGTGACACGAGCAAGCCAACCAATAGGACCTGACTTTCTTTTCCGATGTTTTCCCTTCAAAATAAAAGGGGGATGATTTATGATTGCTGTCTACAGCGCTCTTCCTGGTACATTGTACACAGAGCTCAGGTCACAGCGAGGGCAACCCTCCTGCTGAACACTGGCTGTATGTCATACGTTTCCCTCCACGACTGGGTCAATATTGAAACTAGCATAACGGTTTTTCCGCCAGCGTAGCATTTTCCGAGCATGCAGATACGGAATCTTTTTTTTCAGCAGTACTGCTGAATTCCCTTCTCAACTGCTGAATTTTTCAGCAGTACTGCTGAATAAATAGATTCCGTTTTTCAGATTCTGCCACCATGCAAAACAATAAAACTGATAGTGTTGTCTCAAGACAAAAATGATTCACAGTAGAACTATTAATATTTTATTGTACACTAGCAATCGTAAAACTAGTCCTTTAGGGATACAAAATCAATGAAAGGATCGTAAAAGTCATTGTCGTCATCCTTATATTGTTTTCCTTGATGTTTTGCAAGTCTCTTTTCCTTTTTCTTCTTCCTTCCCAACCAGTATGCAGAATCCTTGTTTTGCCTAGTCTCCTGATAGATGTGGGCCCAGAAAGTTTTCAAGTCAAACGCTTTGTACTCATCGCGTTGTTGGTGGAGCATTTTGGGCTTCATGTCCTTGTGCTTGCCATTTTTGACATCAACTCTAAGGGAAGCTTGTGCTAGTGGTGACCAATGCCATTTGCCGTCTGTGTCTTTGGCTACCATGCAGTTACCCAGCATAATCTTTGTTGGCTCTTGCTGGACATCTTTGAACATCTGCTTCACAGTCTTTGCATTGGCATAGAAATCGTCCGTGAAGAAGCTTTGTTGCCTAGTCTTGGACTATCTATCAATTTGTTCGTTGCTCCAGCTGCTTCCTAGAACCGTTCCTAGTTTCAGGAACTCATCTTCAGAGAAGTGGATCGTCATGGTCGGTTAAAGAGCTGCTCTGGCAGGTTGTGTTGCTTGTCGGAGGCGTTGTCAAGAAGGTGTTGATGGTGGTTTATATCTGACGATTGATTGGCGATTAAAATAAAATGAGAATGACAAAGGGAATTTTAAAATTCAGCAAACTGCTGAAAAATTCAGCAGTACTGCTGAATTCCCTAATCAATTGCTGAATTTTTCAACAGTACTGCTACATAATTAGATTCCGTTTTGTCAGATTCCGTCACTTTCATTTGGCGCGCACGCATCTCAATAGTTTAACGGTAATAATTTGGGATTTCTAGGGTACAGGTTTAGTGCTACGGACGCCGGAAGGACTATATTCAGCAGGACCTCCCTGTGTTGCTGATCAGACAATACAAATCAATCCATTTGCGGTTTTGTATTGATTCTACATAGCAGTTGTACTGACTCTACGTGAAATCCATCCCCTGCCTCATGAAACTGCAGACTACTTTTTGTGGCCCATGTCTGCTTGATTGGAGGAATGTGCCACTTCATAGAATTCTTGAGATGGAGCCCATAGTGGCTTGGTGACTTTGATTCAAAAGAAGCAAGCCTGTTTTACAGCTTGGGTCAGTGGACTCAACAGCAACGCTACGGATACATCATTTGGATGCTCTTGCTATCACATCAGAGAAATCAAAGCTGTTGATCCTTTCCTCCAACAAAGGGTTGTCTTTTTGAATTCACTGTTAATTGATTGGTTATTGTTCCACAAATGTGGTGGTCATAGATTTGATGCCATCAGGGGATGAAGCGAAGACCATTTGGATGGAACTATCGACAGATGAACAGATTGTTAAGGTCACACAGCTCTTCCGCAATTTGCGTCGTCAACGGTCTCGACCAAGCGCAAACAGCGCTTCCAGTGCGGGGCTTTCATCCTTGACACCATCATTCATATCAAGGCCTAGTACAGAAATTGTAGATCATGTCAGTCCAAACGATGTCTTATTTGGGCCATGGCTCACTCGTCCAGGTAATCGACAGCTACGAGAGCTTGTTATTGCGTTATCAGATGAGTACAACCACACCGACCGCGGCGAAAAAAAGAATACAGTGTCGCAATTGGTGGAACGCATACAAAGGAGTGGAGCTCGCTTCCTGAAGCCCTCCACAGAGCATGATGGAAAATGGGAGGTGGTATCCAATAAAGAGTGCGCCCAGGGATATGACGAGAAAAGATGGTACTCCTGGCGGACGCATTGGTAGGTCACACCATCCAGGCATAGATAGCATGACAATCGCTTGTGCCTTATGAATCCTTAGAAACCGAACCATTGCAACGGTCGAAATTGAGTGCAGACTATTGAAATAAATTATTTCTTCAGCTGTAATTAAACTAGCAACTGCATTTGATGAGATCTGTACATGTATGTATTCATCCTTTATTGATTGTGCTTCATGCCTCGACCAAAACCTTAGTTAGTCTATATACAGCTCTTCAGCATATAATGCATGTTAAAAAACAAGATTTGTAAACAAAACAAGGTCTTACCGTATAAGACGGGCCTTTGCTATTGCCTCTTCTATTTCTCTAGAGTACTGGAATTGCTTCGTCTGTACCTCAATACGTATTTCCTTTTTAGAATCCTTTTTGCCGCTTTTCTATGAAAACATCAATTTTAATGGTCATATGCCTTTTCGTCCCTTGATATTTCCCTTTTCGTCCTAGAAGTACTTCCCTAGTACCGCAAATCACGACGAGGAGGGCACGATGAGGAGGGTTGGAGACGACGAGGAGGGTGAAAACGAGGAGGGACCCCTCGAGGAGGGTCGTCAGACCCGACGAGAGGGGGCCCGACGAGTTCACCCGACGAGGAGGCCCAAAACCCGACGAAATGGGCACGACCGAGGAGGGTGCGTGTGCGTGGGAAGTGCGAGGGCTCCATTCGTCCGAGGAGGCTTTATAGTGGAACAAACAATAATTCTAATGCAACAGTCACTTATAACGATATAAAATTGATATATTATCTGTGCTAGTGTTGCTCTGTAAACGCGTTGGTGGAGCACAAGATGCGGAAAACATCACTTTTGACGCACATTTTGATGATGAAAATGGCGATTTGACAATACTTTTCGGTCGGGTGGGCACGTGCTCGTTGTCGCACGGTCGATGCAAGACGACGGAAACTTTTTAATTTGATCATGATTCAATGGACTCACGGCTGGCGCGCAACATCTCTAAGTAGTCGAATTCAAATTCAATCGTGCGTTCCGGCGTCTTCCTCGTACAACTCATTACAAATGCTACGTGAAAGGTTGGCCTTGACACCTTAGATTTTTTTCCGAGCACCCCGTCACTTTTCGTTTTCGACGAAGTTGCAAAGACTCCATTTCCGCATTGTGGACAATGGTGGCTGTTTCAGTGTCCCAGATGAACCTGGTATGTTGTACTTGTTGTTCATATGACAAAATGTGCCGTACGACTCCTTTATTTTGTTTCAAACCATTGAGCTGGAGGTGCTTTTTGTTTCCGTTCCATTGCGTCGTGTCGCTCACAAGAAAACACTTGTCTTCTGTCGCTTCTTCTGTTTCTACTACTCCATTCCAAAGCAAAAAGGTACGAAACACAACCGAACTGTCTTCTATTAATCGATTGAAAAGCTTTTACTGACTCTCTTCTACTTTTCTTTTCCTCTTTCCTTCTGCTCCATCATCTTCTTCTTCTTCCATTCCATCATCACTTCTGCGAACATCACTTCTTCTCCTACCTACAAACCATGAACACTACGAATATCCATTCATTCACAATCATTCTTCACTTGACAATGTCTTCTGCCTACACACTCTACCATCGACCATTTCTACCTGTTCCTTTGTCTTATTCTTTGGTTCCGCCGCACTTCATGTTTCTTTCTACGTCTCCTTCCTTGGCATTCCTTCCATGTCACTTCTCTTCTTCTACCATTCTTCCCTATTGATACTACCTCAACTCTTGCATGATTCAATGAATACATCCACAATACACACTTTCAATAATACTAATAAAATGAATTCTAGAAAAAAGTATCGGGAGAAAAGTACCACGTAGAATAGATACCTGATACTCCTGTAGAATACTGATACTTCCCGGCTAGAAATATCGCACCCGGAGTATATTTTTCGCAAATTGACACCCGGGGACGACGAGGACGCATGGTGCCTTAACCCTTTTGCGAACAGAATTCAAATCTGAGAGTTTCTCAGATTTGATTATGGTACATTCTACATACGTCAATCAAAATTTTGGTCCAATTTTGGATACCTTGGCTTTTCAAATCTGAGAATTTCTCAGATTTAAAAAAAATTGCACGCCAGCCTGCCAAAGGCCAAAATTAATTAAATCTGAGAAATTCTCAGATTTGAATTCGGACCGAAATCACAGACAACTTGCCATCAATTTTTATATATCATTCATGTCATATATATTTTTTAAATTTTTTTTGTTGGAATGCATGATCTCACGGTCAAACAACCAAAGGTGCGCCATATATCTCCCCAAAACCATTGAATATTCAGCATCATGCTTGGATGATACTATACAGGGAGAAGAAACCCACCAAAACTTCTGCTAGTAGCACCTTGCAACCATGGCAGAAGATCTTGCCAATAGAAGAATGCGTGGACTTGGTTCTTGTGTTTGCTGGGCCAGAGGCTCCACCTTATTGTGGCAATCATTGCAAGGCCAATGTCTTCAATTGAATCCATGCGATCTTATTGGAGATGATTGCCGAGCACTGTACCATCAATGCATTTGATCAATTTCCTTGCATAGCAACAATGCCATAGTGAAATCCATTTCCTGGTCATGAGAGTTGCTTTTAAAATGGGAGCAGGATTGAGGAGATCCAACACTTGATACGATTGAAGAATTAGCGATGTGGCGTTTACAAGACAATCAGCTTCATGACGGCATCTTGGAATCAGGCTGGCTCTTCCTAGAAGATGAGACAAGGTTTCATGGACAGCCAATGAATCAGGCTCCCAAGTTGGAAGTCAGAACAAGAACAATAACATTACTATTGAGATCCACCTCCTGGTCAGGAGAGTTGCTTGTCAATTGGAGGCTGAAGAAGATTACCAACCATGGCTATGTAATCTTGTCCGATGAGCTCATAAATAGTACAGTAGCATATGTTTTAAAAAACATTAGGCCTATTACCACCTAGTATAAACTATTTACCTACTAATGACTACCGGTAGGAAGCATCACCAAACAAATGTTGGTGTTGTCCCTGTTAGCTAACACCATACTTTGGCACTGAAAGAATGATAGTCAATCACAGTGAGTCTGGGTCCCATCACAGATGAAAAGTCAAACAAGCACTAACCATAGTGGCACCAACTTTATCTGCTTCGCATTGCCATCAGTCAAATCCATTTCATCAGGCAAAAAGTACTATACTAATACTAATTGGAGCACAATCATTAAGGCAGTGGAACTCTAAGGTGAAGATGATCCATCAATCACTTGCTATTAGTATACTTTTATGAAGTGGAGCAATCATGGAAGCATAAGCACCATGACTGTCCAAAAGGACATCAGCAGGAACTAAGATCAGTTCCAGTTCCAACAAGTAGATTTGTCTCCCTAATAACCAGTCCGGCGCCATTGTTGCATATTTATACATTGGAGCATTCATTCTCTTTGATCTGTACCCTGGGGGAAGCATAGGTAAGCATGACAATCAACTGAAACTCTTGACCAACAAGAAGCATCAGCTGGAACTCACAAACTGGGCCATCAGGTCCAGTTCCATACTTGACAGAATTGCCTCTGCGATGTCCCAATTGCTCACCAGTATGTATTCATTGATTGTAACAATCACCATATTGGAGCTATATGGTGGAAGCACATGGTAAGCATGATGATGGATCGAAATTCCGCAACAAGCATCAGCTGGAACTCACCATTTTGTCCATCAAATCCAGTTCTACTCATCAGCATTGCCTCGACCATGTCCCAATTGCTCACCGGTATGTATTCATTGACTGGAACAATCATTATATTGAACCGATATAGTGAAAACACATGGTAAGCATGATGATGGATCGAAATTCCGCAACAAGCATCAGCTGGAACTCACAAACTGGGCCATCAGGTCCAGTTCCATACTTGACAGAATTGCCTCTGCGATGTCCCAATTGCTCACCAGTATGTATTCATTGATTGTAACAATCACCATATTGGAGCTATATGGTGGAAGCACATGGTAAGCATGATGATGGATCGAAATTCCGCAACAAGCATCAGCTGGAACTCACCATTTTGTCCATCAAATCCAGTTCTACTCATCAGCATTGCCTCGACCATGTCCCAATTGCTCACCGGTATGTATTCATTGACTGGAACAATCATTATATTGAACCGATATAGTGAAAACACATGGTAAGCATGATGATGGATCGAAATTCCGCAACAAGCATCAGCTGGAACTCACAAACTGGGCCATCAGGTCCAGTTCCATACTTGACAGAATTGCCTCTGCGATGTCCCAATTGCTCACCAGTATGTATTCATTGATTGTAACAATCACCATATTGGAGCTATATGGTGGAAGCACATGGTAAGCATGATGATGGATCGAAATTCCGCAACAAGCATCAGCTGGAACTCACCATTTTGTCCATCAAATCCAGTTCTACTCATCAGCATTGCCTCGACCATGTCCCAATTGCTCACCGGTATGTATTCATTGACTGGAACAATCATTATATTGAACCGATATAGTGAAAACACATGGTAAGCATGATGATGGATCGAAATTCCGCAACAAGCATCAGCTGGAACTCACAAACTGGGCCATCAGGTCCAGTTCCATACTTGACAGAATTGCCTCTGCGATGTCCCAATTGCTCACCAGTATGTATTCATTGATTGTAACAATCACCATATTGGAGCTATATGGTGGAAGCACATGGTAAGCATGATGATGGATCGAAATTCCGCAACAAGCATCAGCTGGAACTCACCATTTTGTCCATCAAATCCAGTTCTACTCATCAGCATTGCCTCGACCATGTCCCAATTGCTCACCGGTATGTATTCATTGACTGGAACAATCATTATATTGAACCGATATAGTGAAAACACATGGTAAGCATGATGATGGATCGAAATTCCGCAACAAGCATCAGCTGGAACTCACAAACTGGGCCATCAGGTCCAGTTCCATACTTGACAGAATTGCCTCTGCGATGTCCCAATTGCTCACCAGTATGTATTCATTGATTGTAACAATCACCATATTGGAGCTATATGGTGGAAGCACATGGTAAGCATGATGATGGATCGAAATTCCGCAACAAGCATCAGCTGGAACTCACCATTTTGTCCATCAAATCCAGTTCTACTCCTCAGAATTGCCTCAACCATGTCCCAATTGCTCACTAGTATGTATTCATTGATTGGAACAATCATTATATTGGACCCATATAGTGAAAGCACATGGTAAGCATGATGATGGATCAAAATTCCGCAACAAGCATCAGCTGGAACTCACCATTTTGTCCATCAAATCCAGTTCTACTCCTCAGAATTGCCTCGACCATGTCCCAAGCAGTCGCCAGAATGTAGCCATTGTATGGAACAACCATTGTATTGTTTCTATATGGTGGAAGCACATCGTAAACATGACGATCGATCAAAACTCCAGAAGAAGCATTCTCAGCTGGGACCTATAAATGCAGCCATCAAATTCACTTCCACTCATCTGATTTGCACTGCTTTTCATTTCATCCCATTGTCGGCAAACATAGAACTCTTTGGAGAATAGTCTTCATACTGGAGTAATATGATGGAATGAAACTGCAAGCAGCTGGAACAATGAAATGTGTAGTGTTGCCAGAAGCAGCAATAGACATCCTTTAATTTGCGATTCAATCTCATCTGATCCCCATCAGCATTGCTTAATAGATGACCCATTCTTCCAATATTCTGCATGTAGTCATATGAAGAATCTTCTTATCCACTCCTTATTGTGGAAGCATAAGAGGTTTAGGACCAGAGGATCAAAATTGAAAAAAAGCTGGATGCAAGCATGAGTTGAACATTTAGTAACGCATCCATAAACTCTCACCTTTCCTAGGTCTTTGCTGATTGTAGAATATTCAAGGGCAGTGTCAAACTTGATCACATACTATCACATGTATCAGCAATGAGTCAATGCGGTGGCGAGTCATACAAGTTTTGGACTGGACCCAGATGGCAAGCTTTCTTGACTGGGTGTAGAACTGAAAAGAATCGGAACAATGAAACTCATCTATCAACCATCAGCCATTCCAATGCCTTCAATATAGCCATAGAGACATTGCTTTCAGATAATATTCCATGGTTCTTGCCTCCAGACTTGACTCTGGTTCCATTATTGCCCATTAAGATTATGTGATGTTCGTGCCTTTCAGCTTCATTTGGGAGCTACTAGTAGTCGTCTAGAGAAACTAATTGCTCGGCTCACTTCATAGGACCAAGATAGAGAAGAGTGGGACAGACCTGGCATGGCATACCAGTGAAGCCTCCATACAGCAAAGTGGGGAAACAAGAGCAGCAGTGACTGTTGCCACATGGTTGAGAGATTGTTGTTGGAATCAATATTGAGTTTCGCTTACTATTTTGGCGAATGTCTGTGTAGAGTTTTTACACATGCAAATCATGTTGTTGGCGACATAAGCGATTGCAATATGTTATATAAAAAAATTTAAATAATTAATATTTTGTTTTGGTGTTCCGATCTGGGTTCTCTTACCAAAACGAAGTGGGATCGTGCGATATCAACCCAAAAATCGTGTGTTTCCACCAGGTTTTGGGTTCTAATTTAGTTTATTTTAGTAAAGTAACCCGGACTGACATGAAACAAGGCAGCAGCAAAAAGCGATGGTTGCTTGGGAATGGAGAGGGATCGGCAAGGCGTTGAGAGCTATACCATGATTATGCAAAGTGGAGGATTCTTTCGAAGGTTCTAGAGGAATGGAAGCACAGAGGAAGAACTAGAAAATGGGACGAGAAATCGATTTTTGGTCAGGTGACGAGGATCATCTTGGCGCAGCAATATGAAGGCATTGAAGCAGCAAACATAACACTATAGCAGACACACTTCAGATAATTTCACTCATACTTTTGGTGTGCGGGTGTTGTCTTCAATTGTAGTGGGTTATAGAAGGAGAAAAGAGTCAACTGTTGTGACGGCGGTGAAATGATTTCTGTGCGTGCAGATAGAATGAAAATTTGGTGCAGGTATTTTGAAAACATGGCTAGTGGGGAGAAAAAGTGGGGAATGGATTTTTGTCGTTGCGTACAATTCAGACGTTATGTAGTGGTTTTCGGCCTATGTAACAGAGTGGAGGGCGATTATTTGACGGACAATTTCCAGCGCTTCCAAATCGGATTTCAAATCTGAGAGTTTCTCAGATTTGATTTCCAAAATTAATTAAATCTGAGAGTTTCTCAGATTTGTTCGCAAAAGGGTTAATATTTCCCTTTTCGGGAAATGTTGGTAAAAATTGTGAGATATAATAATTTTGAAAAAATATGTTGCGTAAGCGGTATTGGTATTATTCATACCACATTGCATTATTGATAGTAAGCAGGCTGTTGTATTAGTAATATACCGCATTGCATTATTGATAATAAGCAGGCTGTTGTATAATAGTAATAGAGAGTTCTTGGTAATACCTCCAATTCGATGATGCTAAAACCAGAATAAGAAATAGAACATGACCACACCAGTTGCAATATCAAACAAATCGTGCCTTTGTGGATACGATTCATCATCCGGTGGAGGAGGCCGCATGAGCACTCAATTGAATACTAGCAGTCGCAAAAGGACACTCCCAGGGGTTTCCAGTTATGAAGACATGCTAATGGATGGCATGAAGCATCTCTCTTTCGATCAGATTCAGCATGAACAAGAATTGCTTCATGGAGTTGCGGATCACGTTGACCTGGACGACAATAAGATCAACGAGCTGTTCCTTGAGTTAGCTTCACATCTTAATCGTATGAAGAAAGGGACCGCCTACGAAACAGCAGAAAAGCAAGACCAATCCTATGTATCCAATCGGGAACTTCAGTTGGCTTTCTTACGAGCTTGTCATTTCGAACCAAGAGCTTCAGCTGAGAAACTGATCAAGTTTTTCACCTACAAACAGGACCTCTTTGGTGAAAGCAGCTTGGTTCGTGCCATCACTGCGCAAGATTTGAACCAAGATGATTTGAGCTGCTTATTGGAAGGATTTTGCCAGTTCTGCCCGTTTCGATCGATCAGGACGAATGATCCATTTGGAGTTCCCAGGCGTTCGATCAAAGACGAGTGTCCGCACTGAGTTACGAGCCAGATTTTACATGTCAGCGAACAATGTTGAAACAATGGTAGACATTAGCAAAGGAACTGTCTTCGTGAGTTATTCTGTAGAGCAGTATCAAGATCATTCAAACGGGGCGGGTTTCCTAGAAACTTCTAAATTGTTCCACAACTGTCTCCCTATGAAAATTGACGGAATTCATCTCTGCTACAGCAATCCAATAGATTGCATGGTGACGAGGGCCTGCATTGCACTATTGCCGCATCGTGACCGCGTCAAATCGCGTGTACATTTGGGATCGCATATAGAATGCCAATCTTTATTCGCAAGCTATGGTATACATCGAGCAGCGCTTCCTTTGAAGGGGAAGGAAAGTGAGATGGATTTCAGCCATCACAATGCTTGGTTTCAGAGACGAATGCTTCGAGAGGAAGAGCAGCGGCAACAAGCTCCTGTGCCTATTCCTCCTATTGATGCTGCTGTAACGGACCAACGGAACACATCCTGTCATGACACCACATCCGGCCCGAACAGTGCCAATGAAAACGATGTCTTGTCATTTGGTCAAAGAGTCAAAGGTGTGGGTGACGAACGGCTGCGTTCCTTGGCCATCACTTATCTCGCAGCGTACGACAGTGGAAGTAGATCCAGTCGACGGACCATTGTATCTGGAATGATCGAAGACGTCCACAGACATGGCGGTAGATTTCTGAAGCCACACCCTCGGTCTGTTTCGAAAACAGATTCAATGTCGTCGGATGACGTAAGGAAGATCACATGGGTGGAACTTTCGCCAGATGAAAAGCGTGTGAAGGTAACACAGCTTTTCCGCAATTTGCGTCGTCGACGGTCTCGACCGAGCGCAAACAGTGCTTCCAATGCGGCGCTACCATCGTCGTCACCTGCGGTAATTGTAGAACAGATTGGGCCACACGATGTCTTGTTTGGGCCAAGGCTCGACAATCCAGGCAACCTGCGACTACGAGAGCTCGTTTTCTCGTTATCCGACGAGTACGACCGCACCGATCGTGGACAGAAAAAGAATTTGGTGTCCCAATTGGTGGAAACCATACAAGAGAAAGGCGGTCGTTTTCTGAAGCGCAGTACTATGGATTATGGCAAATGGGAGGTGGTACCCGATGAAGCGGCCCATGAGAAGGTGTCCAAGCAATTTCGCAATATTCGAAGACTGCGGTGAGGGGAATATGATGAGAAAATAGGTGACTCTTGACGGACGTTCCGTTACATGTTACACCAGCGATTGAATGAAACTCGTGAATCCTCGGAAGCAAAGAGTCTGTACTAACTGAAAGGGTCAAAGTCAACAAGTGTAAACGACTGAACTAAATCCATTGACCAGCTGATATTATAAATTACCTATTGTTTTTGACGAGCTATTTATCTATTCATCTTGACTGTTGGCTTCATGCCTTGACTATATATGTCGAGTTCTGTCCCGTCTCTTGCTCCCTATCTTCTGTCCGTCATCCGTCATTTCAAAGACATGAAAAAGTGACGTATAGACGGACGGGCGAAGACTTTTTTTTAAACACGACAATAAAAAACAATTTAGCGGCTACTGTAGCTGTCCGGCGCGAAGCTTTTGGCAATCGTCGCTTTCTGTGTTGTGCGATGTCAAGAAATCGCACGAGTACCGCATGCAGCATTCGAAAGCGACCAGACCCCGCAAAAGGAAATACCGGCACTATACAACAACGGCAACAACGGCAACAACGACAGTTAGCTTCAGAAATTGCGTTGATTGCAAAGTAAAGGATAAGCTGTGGAAAAAGTTAGATAGCTGATTGATTCCGTTTTAAGAGATCAAATTAAAACTGCGCTGAAATTTTCAGCAGCCATTTCACTGCGACTTTGAAACGATTGCTCGCTCGCTTGATTGATTGATTGGTTGAGTTAGATAGACACCAGCAGCTTCGATCTTTATCGATTCAACTGCCTGGGGAAAGGCGGTTCGATAGATCTAAAGGACATACATACATACATACATACATTTACGGTAGACTGAGAAAAAGAAATTAAGGAGAATCCTAGAAGTTTCAGGAAGGTCCGGAACTTTTGATCACATCGGCAATTATAATACTTTGGCCACACACTCGCTCCGGAATTCAATCAATACACACTACACACAACACCAATCCCATACAAAATGGCAGACACAACAAACAATGCACCTCAAACCTCCTCCTTTTCGGCTACGGTTGTCAAGAAGCACAAGAGTTTCAAAAAACTAGGCCTCCAATTTGGTGCCAAACCCTTGCCACAGGATCCCAGTCAGTACATTGTCTTCCTCGCCAAGGTGACTGGTGCTTTTTCCAAAAAGACCTTTTTGGTTCCTGGTTTGCAAGTCTTGTCGGTCAACCAAACCATTGTCTCAACCCCGGACGAAGCCTTTGAGGCATGCGAGCGAATTCAGGTGGGACACATTGTCAGTATTGAAGTCGAAGGGTCTCTACATAAGGCAAACAAGAAGAAACCAAAGTCCATATTTGGTTCCTTTTCCAAGACCAACAAGACGGAAAAGCTGGGAATTTCCATCAAACAAGTGGATGCCTTTGTTTCTGAAGACATTGTGGGAGATGGAGACGAAGAAGTAGGAACCGTCATTCAGATTACGGCGGTTGAAAAGGATGGTCTCTTTCCCAAACTAAAGGTTGGCAGCATATTGCATTCTGTCAATGGGCAAGTCGCGACTTCTTTCAAGAAGACATTGGGGTGGTTGAAAAACAGTAAACAATTGACACTGATTGTACTGGACCCTCCCAAGGAAGATTTGCAAGAATCATCGCCAAGAGGACTCTACACAGAAGACACGACGACGGATGCTCCCATTTCTCCGTCACATTCCATCGAACGTCTAGAAGCGGAGAAGATGAGCAGGGATCGGTTTCCAACTCCCTTGGGGCTTGTGGAAATCAATCCATTGCTCGCGCAAAACTCCTCCGTCAATATTGTGCCCACGACTACCAAAATTGATCCACTCAAGGATAGTGCTATTGGACAGCATGTTGGGGAACCACAAGATACCTCCAATGATAGGCTGAGAGTCATTGCCTGTGTGATGCGGCCTAATTTGGAGATTCCACTCGGCCTGACCTTTCGGCAAGACACAAAGGATGGGGGTGTCATAATTGTCAAGGTCGAGCGAGATGGCATTTTTGCACACACTGGACTCGAAGCGAACCAAAAAATTGTGAGAATCAATGGACATATGCATCCATCCACCACAGTCAACAGCGGGGCTGGCAAACAACAACAGTTTGATCAAGCAGTCGACTTGTTGCTTCAAGCCAAGGGAAGAGTCACCATTGAAGCGGAAAGTGATAATGATGCTTCTCAAATCGTCACCAGAGAACGTCGGATCTTTAGTATTCAAAAGGCAAAGAGAACTTTGCAATTGGACATTGGACTCCAGGAAAACATCCGTGAGAATTGCGTTCAAATTACCAAGGTTTCTCCGACTTTGGACAAGGTGCTGGGGCTCAAGAACGGTTTGCAGCTTCGTTACATCAATGGCAAGGCTTGCAATCCTTACGATATTACCAGTGTTCACAAACAAATGGATGAAGCCTTTCCGATACTCTCATTGGAATGCATTGCCAAGTTAGAACCACAAGCAGCAATAGCTCTAAGTCCAACGGGAAGCAGTCCGGCAAATGTTCGAGTGGTAGCATGCATCATTCGACCCGATGTTTCGGTGGATCTGGGAATGACTTTTCGACGCGACATTCAAAGTGGCTGCCTTATAATTGATACTGTGGCATCCAATGGATTGTTTGCTAAAACGGGGATTCGCGCCAATCAAAAAATTATCAAGATCAATGGTCATCCGTATGCTCACATATCGGCACTGAAATTGACACAAGCCATCCAACTGTTACACGAAAGCCAGGGAAGACTGACGATTGAAGCTGAAACCGTATTATCATCTTCACCATCCTCGCCGCAAGGCCAAATCGATAATAACATTTTCACGATTCAAAAGGCCAAGAAGAGTTTCCAGTTGGGACTTGGTTTACAACAAGTCAAGTCACCGGGAAGGCCAGCTTCGATTATTATATGCAATGTTTCTCCGACGCTAGAAAAAGTTCTCGGATTGAGAAAGGGACTTGAATTGTTGTGCATCAATGGGGTACCTTGCGATGCCAATAACATACCTAGTGTCCATGCTCAAATGGACTTGGCATTTCCCATGCTGTCCTTAGAGTGCAAAGAACCTCCTGTCACTCCTTCAGAAAACCGGCGCCCATCGCGATTGGCAGCTCCTACGAAGCCAGTGGAAGAAAAGAAGAATGATGAATCGGAGGAGGACGAGGAATCGTGGATGGTCCGAGAACATGCAATGGCGGAAGACGCCCTACCAGTCCCAGTCTTTGCTTCCAACAAGTCGACGGCCAAGATTGTTCGAACAGTGGTGGTGGAAATTCCAAAGACCAAGCTGTTGGGCAAGCCATCGTCTGTCGATCAATTGTTGGGGCTCACTTTGGCAAAACACCGTCATTTGAATGCAGTCGTGATTACTCGTATTGCGGATGAAAGTCTTCTCTCTGGACAGTTCTGCGAAGGACAAGTCATGGTGGGGATTAACCACATATCGTGTCCTCTGACGACGGAATCGACCTTCAAGATGCTGCGGCGCAAAGCGAAGGAAGGTCCATCGTTGCGGATTGAAGCAGGCGATGTCGAACATGTAGTGGATCCCGATGGCTTTGGCCACAAGCAAACCTTTCGATCGTCGCCGGCTGCCATCCGGAAGGAGAATCACAATTCTGCAGCTGAAGAGGAAGAAGCGAACCGCATGATGGAGGCCATTCGAATTGGCATGATCAAGGCGACGGACGAAGAAATCAAGGAAGAATACGACATGACGGGGCCTGTCTATTCGGACGATATGGAATTTGACGACTTTTCACCCATGCCTAAGATTATCATGGAAGGGCTTCCACCGGAGCTCTTCCCCAACCAGAGCACCTCGCCACAAGCTGCTACCGGAAAGAACACTCAAAAGAAATCGAAACAAAAGAAGAAAGATCAAGTTTACTACCACGATGAGCATCCCGAGGTGTTTGATTGTTGAAGATGGAGGATGCGGTTGGATATCAAAATCGTTGCTCTTTCGTTTTTGAAACTTACTTGGGAGAAAAAAAGACGGGGAGTTATCCAACTGCTCAAGTAGTGTGGAACGACACTAATGGTGCGCAGTCTGTGACGACAAACGAATATTGCCATGTTTCCGATATAGAAATAGAAAAGTAACAATTATTGATTTCATTTTGCACCATTTGTTTCTGGATCCCAGTCAGAGTAAGGCTCATAGAGTAGCCCCGTCGCCCGTAACAGAGCACTGTACACCGTTTCGGAACGTGACCAGGTTGTAGACGTCAGTATTGAATAATTTGGCGAATGTTGTCAGCAGTTGCGTGTCCTAATCGTAGATCATGCGACTCTTTGTGCCGCCAAATGAGCATTTGGCATTGGTACCCATTCTAATAAAAGACAATCATTTTCTTCTGGCGATATTGTCAAGGAAATCTTCGTCAGTGCTTTGAGGCCCCAAGGTTCCTAGACAAAATTCAGAATCCGTTACCGTTAGCAAAGGTCCCGGCCTTGTTTTCCATCGAGGACTGGAATTTTCTCGTTTGTCGAAGTTCCGGACTCTTCCATCAACGTGACCCTAAGTGACCGATGGGACCCGTAATATACACAAATGAAATCACTATACCGCCCCGTATGTAAACGCATTCTACCGCCAGGATATGAGGTGACGGAAGCTTTTTCCACTTCTGAGATATCTCTAGAAATAATCGAGGCCGGGACCGCTCAAATCTTAGCACCTAAATCAATGGGACCGTTCAAGATTTTCACAATTAACACTGCGCCCACGACTACCTTTTTATTATGGACGGGACCCCTCACGGCGATTCACACCACTTGAATTATCTACAGCATGTCACGTGGTGGCTAATATGCTGCGAGATTCCTGGCATTTTCTCACTTGTTTCCACCACTTTCCCTTTCTTTCACAAATTTCATTTCCGTCCGAACAAAGTCAGCAAAATGCGCCCTCTTAGTTTGTGCAATCAGAACCAAAAGACTCTTGCCTCTCTCCAAGCTAAAGACTTCGATGGAGCTGTCCAATCGGCCTCATGTGCATTGAGAGATCTCAAACGTGATATTGGGTCTTTCGATGGGATCCCCCCTGCTGATGAGATTGCTGGTGATGCTTTGGATCAATGTATGCACCTGAATAAGGTTGGCTGCAGCATCAGCACTGATGCTACATCACCTTTTATATACGATCGCGGGATTATACTCCCTTCAACGATGGAGGATGGAGCAATAATGACGACCGTTTTAGTTTTCAACGCAGCACTTGCAAACCACTTGCTTGCTATTAGCGAGAATAACGATCGATCTCTCAAGTATCTACACAGAGCAAGGCAACTGTACCAGTTGGCTCATGAGGGACAAGATATTGATCAGAACTTTTTGTTTCATTTTGCAGTCATCAACAATCTTGCTCTCATCGATCAGAGCCTCGGCGACGCGGAGTCTTCCCAGAAGAGCTTTGAGTATTTGATATCAGTTATTATGATTCTCATTACACAAGAACAAAGCGCCATCGTGTCCCAATTGAGCGGTTTCCTTGTGAATATGCCGTTTTCAATCAAAGCTACAGCAGCAGCAGCAGCATGATCATTTTATCCTCTAGCCCAATTCATATGAAAAGAAGAATATGATAACACTGTATATTAAAAAAATCATAGAAGTAACAATACAAATAAGATGTCAATAGTATGCAAAAGAAAATTTACACTCATCTTGGTGTTGAAATTATTTGCCACTGCAGTGCATCTCAGTTGATAGAAAGTAAAGTACGGCCCGCTGATGATGGTCGACAAACGAATGAATCAAGTCCTTGGAAAGGCGTGTGCTGCCGTGCTGCTCAAGTCTGAATAGACAAACTTTGATTGGGACGGGTGGTATGGTATCTTTTATTCTAAAATGATGGGTGTGGCGTGTGGTATTCGGTAATTTATATCAATAATGACCACTACTGACACCCTCATATTACCGCTCTTTGGACTGACTCTTTCGTTCGCTAAACTTATTCTGCTTCCTATTTTTTCTTTCTACAGCGCAATAATTAGTCCGAACCAAGACTACGGAACGCAACCTTTTTTTGCAAAATTTCGGCGTCTGTAGTGTTTCTGCTCCATGTTTCGAAACATTGTTTTGGGACCATTCACTTTCAACTTATTATATATATTAAAATGAGCGCAGTAGTGTTGCAACCAGCTTCACCACTTAGTTAGTAGAAGGAGAAAGCTCGATTTAGTCGATTTTAGATGAATGCACCAAAATATCATTCCGAAACCCAAGGAAGGAAACATTATTCATTATGTAAGGTTGTTTACTAGTATTTGGTGAATTTAGTATGTCGTCTGAAGCCCGAACAAAGCAACAAGAGGTCACGAGGAGTATGCTATTGGTAGGTATTCTAAATACTATGCTATAGTGACCCTGCAGTATTGCAGGATTGTTGGATACACGATCACTCAATGTTCCAGTGGTTCAGGCTATACTGCCGCTCTGTACTGGGCGATGGTCAGTGGCAGCCTCGGGGCGTTGGCTGCAGTAGCCTGAACGAAAGAACTTTGAATGCAAAATGGACTGGAATCGTCGATACCAGCGGATTTCTCTGTCAACGAGCGCTCAAAGTTGCAGACCCTTCATATGAGCAACCTTGGCAGCTCTGATGGAGTAGATGGAGAAAAAATGCGCGATTGTTTCTTGGTCAAGCCTAAAGTCAGAAAGATCATTCATTTCGTTGTAGAAGTCTTCTTCTTGCTGCATTTGTTCAGCCAATACGCATGTCTTGGCTTCTTTCATGCGCTTGACAGATTGTTTTAGTTCCTTTTCGGAAGAAAGACCAACATACGAAATTTCTTTGGTGTCGGCATCTCCGCCAAATGATGCAATCCTTGACATGGCAACGCGTTGGAGGTGCTTGTCTTGTTTGAGAAAGCTAGCAAGTTCTTGCTTGGAATCCCAGAGATGATCAGGGTTCGTGGTGATCGGTGATTTGGCGCGCCTACACGAGACTCGACTGTGAAAGCAAACTTTGAGCTCTTTCAGAGTATAGCGGCTTCGTCCCACCTCGGATGGAGGAGGCTTCCATATCCATCAGTCTCTATTGGCTCCATGATGTTTTCCGTGAACCTTCTGAAATTTTGTATTTTATGAGGTCAAGGGTTTTACATTATTGCGGGACCCCAGCCAAGTAACGTCGAAATGTTTCTGCTACAATGTGCGCCAAAAAAGCTGATGGGCCGCAACCATGAGTCCACTCGAGTCTTTGGACCTAGAGCATTTCAAAATATACAGAGCACAGTCATGTAGAACGACTACGACCTTTCGGATTTGGATTAACTGAGGATATATCGGTGGCGCGACTTGGGACTGAACCAATATGATTGCGACCGCACAGAATGCTCCGCAAGCGACGAGATGTCCGCTCTGATAAAGCAATATTTATCTATATTATCTCACCCTGCACACATTTTCTGCACAAACTTTTAAAAACGTTGTTAGCGCATTGCTCGATCTCTTCTCTCAAAGTTCCTTTTACCGATGTTCTTTCTACCGCGCAATCGAAACAAAGTGTTTTGTTGCAAATCAATTCATGGCTAGCACGAAGCATACATATATAAAACGTCGCAAAGAGCGCAGAAACAATATGTACATTGAACATTGATATATATACACGTCGAACAGCCGCCACCCAATCGCGACATTGGGTCCCAAAAAAAGGATCCCACTCACATTTTTCTAGATCGTGAAACTCAACGTCGTCACATTCACATTTTTGCTTGGGATCATAAAATTCAACATCATGGCTCTTTCTATTCAGAACCAACAAACCATTTCCTTCCTGAAAACTAAAAATTTCTGCAGCGCAGTGGAGTCTGCATCGACTGCACTGAGAATGCATCAAGAACGCAGAAACTCAATACAGCGGCAGGACCCTCAGCATTGTATAGACATCACTCTAAATCATTGCATGCTCAGAAGCAAGGCAGGTCAAGAAGGATGCGATGTCTATATTCCTCCACTAACATATATCTACACGGACGGTGTTGCACTGCCTCAAGGTCCGGTCGATTTTCCAACTACCACATCGATTCTCATCTTCAATGCAGCCATTGCCAATCACTTGTTTGCAAGAGTACAGGGGCGAAAAGAGGCATCGCTTCGCTACCTGCGCAAAGCGAAGAAGCTCTACGTATTGGCGCATGAGGGACAAGAAAACAGCGATGTTAACTTCCTGTTCCACATCGCCATCATAAACAATTTGGCAATGGTTGATCTAGCAATCGGCGATCTGGAATCCGCTCACAAGAGTTTCGAGTATATGGTCAGCTTGATGATGCTTCAGCTCGATCAAGGATACGATCTCTCATCCCATCTGCATGATTTCCTTTCAAACATACCTATCGCAATAAAGGCTGCGCCTGCGGCGTAGACAGATGATAGAACACCACTTTAGCTACATTTGTTGCATTCTGCATCATCGCACTGACTATATACACGTATAATCTATGAGCTAGTAAATTAGAGCAACCGATTCCACGATATGCCGTGCGAAGGACTCATATTGGTGGAATAGCCAATCACGATAGGGCTAAGAACAGCTGCATGAGTAACAAAGACCAACCCTGCAATAAACAATAGAATGAATATGGTGATTACACTCATTGTATCGGTGCTCAAATTAGTTACGACCACTGCAATGGACAATTTAGAGTGCGGTTTTTCGTTTCATCGAGCAAATCAAGTAGGGTTCAATGGCTGGTGGTAGATGCAAAGTGTATTTGCCCTGTAGCGATGAGACAAATAGTTCGATTTGAGCGCCCTGAGTACTTGGTGCCTCACACAAGAAAAGTGATTGGGACTGGCAGTGGTGGTACCACAGGTGCGTTCGTGTGGCCCAAACTCTATCCTTGGCTTGAAATCATTTTCCGGTTGAAAATATATCTAACTTTTTTTTAAAAAGCCCACATGAGACGAGATGTATCTTGTTTCCGCTCAAACAGGCAAAATAAACCCATGCAGTCATCTTTCACATGACCTATTCATATCTTTCAAAAATTGATGGCACCAATCTCCATCCATATTGAATATATAGTAACATATTATATTTCTTCAAACGGGAGCGGGTCAAATCTCTTCAAAGTTCTTTCTACCGCGCAATGGGTCCGAAAACAAGACTTCGTACTGGTAAATACTGTACACGGCGCGTAAAAGAAACTATTTTAATTGTGTTTCTGCTCCATACTAGTGTATGGTTTTTTGGGACCGCTCATAATGTCATCGTGCACACATTTTTTATTAGAAAAACTAGGTAAGCAAGGAGCGCAGAAACACTACAGTATGATACGCCGAGCGAACAGCCGCCATCCAACCAGGAAGACGCCGCCACCCAACCGAGACATTATTGGGTCCCAAAAAAGGATCCCACTCACATTTTTCTAGATCGTGAAACTCAACGTCGTCACATTCACATTTTTGCTTGGGATCATAAAATTCAACATCATGGCTCTTTCTATTCAGAACCAACAAACCATTTCCTTCCTGAAAACTAAAAATTTCTGCAGCGCAGTGGAGTCTGCATCGACTGCACTGAGAATGCATCAAGAACGCAGAAACTCAATACAGCGGCAGGACCCTCAGCATTGTATAGACATCACTCTAAATCATTGCATGCTCAGAAGCAAGGCAGGTCAAGAAGGATGCGATGTCTATATTCCTCCACTAACATATATCTACACGGACGGTGTTGCACTGCCTCAAGGTCCGGTCGATTTTCCAACTACCACATCGATTCTCATCTTCAATGCAGCCATTGCCAATCACTTGTTTGCAAGAGTACAGGGGCGAAAAGAGGCATCGCTTCGCTACCTGCGCAAAGCGAAGAAGCTCTACGTATTGGCGCATGAGGGACAAGAAAACAGCGATGTTAACTTCCTGTTCCACATCGCCATCATAAACAATTTGGCAATGGTTGATCTAGCAATCGGCGATCTGGAATCCGCTCACAAGAGTTTCGAGTATATGGTCAGCTTGATGATGCTTCAGCTCGATCAAGGATACGATCTCTCATCCCATCTGCATGATTTCCTTTCAAACATACCTATCGCAATAAAGGCTGCGCCTGCGGCGTAGACAGATGATAGAACACCACTTTAGCTACATTTGTTGCATTCTGCATCATCGCACTGACTATATACACGTATAATCTATGTGCTAGTAAATTAGAGCAACCGTTTCCACTTTCAGCAGAGCATTTAGCTTTGAACTTGGAGTCGATCTCGAGTAACGTTCGTCTCAAAATCGCCATCATCGTATTTTATACTGTACGTTCGGTGATAAGAATGCACTTGATCAACAGTACCTTGGAACCAATTGCCCCCGGCTGCATAATTAGACAGCACGCGAGTGCCTACTGCCAAGAGTGGCAAGAGCGGTCGAATATGATGTTCTTCAACGCCCTCCAGCTCTTCGTCATATTCTATGACGTACACATCAAAGTCGCGTTTTATCATGCCGGCGTGATCGCTGCTTTCATCTTCACTATCTTCGCTGTCTTCACCCGTCTTGTCCTCGTTCACTTCAAATGCAGCTTCGATTGTTGCCCCCCACCAGGATCCATCATGAAGTCTCACTTCAACAAAGTCGCCTGCTTCAACTGTGAAGTATGGTTGAACATCAGTCCATTCCTTTTCTTCCAACAGATCGGAACTGTCGAACTTCACCAAGACCTTATCCTTGGATGTTTTGACAATTGACGCCTTGGCCCAAACACCAACCACGCCAGTGGGTTTCCCGGTTTTGGAGACGGCAGCCCAAGTGATATCGCCAGCTTGCAATCCTTGCCTCAGGATTGGGGCCCGAAGGTCATCGGCTGCTATCCTGGAGACCAAGTGCCCTCCCGATAGAACATTGTACCAGCCAAGTGGAGATACGCTGTCAATTTCGCCTTCAAGCCAGTCCAAAGTCAGCCCGCCATCGGAATACAAAAATTCTACCTTGTCACCTTGCACAAAATGATGGTATGGTTGTACCAACATTGGCGCGAGAGAACGCTGCTTCATGCCATCTTTGTCGTATACCACCTTAATCAGACCATTGTCCAGTTTCTCGACCACTCGTGCCGCCTCCCAGCTTCCGTGCCAAATAGCACCCGCACCTGATGCTGCCCATACGCGGCTTCCAGTACTGAGGTAGTGTGGAGTGGATTTTGGACGCAACAAATTCGAAGGCGATCGCAGAGCTGCGGTCGTGGAGCTTGTCGGGTGCAGCAGTGATTTCGATGGGGAAAAGGTTGCAACAGCATTCTTGCTTAATACACCCTTTGGCGACGATGGAGGTGAAAGGAATCTTGCTTGCAAGTCTTCTAAGAGAGCGATTGTTTGGTACTTGGCCATCGAAGTCTCGCGACGACGTCCGAATCTCGCATCGGCCAAAGCTTGCAACAAGTGCTTGTCGAGATGTTGCAGCAGGGGTTGCTGTCGTCGAAGAATTAATCGTTGCAGGTGTTCCAAAGCGGCGGCATCGTTCATTAATGTCCAGTACCCAGTTGCAGCGTCTTGGAGAAGCATACGAGGCGGATTGGCCGATCGTGGTGTGTCCCATTGTTCCCTAATCAAATTTGCCAGGCACTCGGACGGCAAATGAGAGGATCCGTATTCTGCAACCAACTTATCCAATGCCATATTTCCCGGCTGATAGTCCAGTGCACGGTTGTAACTTCCCAAAAAGTCGGCATCGTACCGACTTCCAACCAAATAATCCGAACGATCGGGCAAAGTGGTTGCCTTGGGAATGCTACTACCAGAATCGGCAAATGGAGTCACCTTGATAACATTGGAGACAACCTTTTGGCCTAAGAACGAATATTCCTGAATGGCGTAGAAAAGTCCATAACCAACACTGGCGATGAGCAAGTGAAATCCCAGTAGACGCTTGAGAAAGGATAGACGGGTGCCACTCGGAGAAAGCAACATGCACATGACAAATACTGCTATCAGTCCACATTGGTAGGCATACAAGCAAGCTTCGACAAAATTCCCCAAAACTTGCGGAATGTATTCATGCCAATCGTCACTGGACGTTCCCTGTTGGACGATTGGAGCAATGAATCCACCGGTCAATTCCATATAATCCTTGAAATCTGGCAATTCGTCTTCGAGAAAGAAATCCATTTGGTTGGCCAGCTGTCGAGCCACGTGCTCGGGCCATGGAACCGCATTGGAAGCCGTAATTCCCAAGGCCTTGAAGGTGGCCCATGGTTGTTTCCAAAAGGAATGTTTCGAGGAAAGAGCATGACGGAAATCGGAAAAGGAATGTCCCCACATGGTCCACCTTTGATAGTAATACGTCCCCATACCTTGCTGACGAACATCTCCGTACTTTTCAAAGTCCCGCTTATTGACAAAGGTCACAATGAACATGACTCGATTTGTGTCCTTGAAGGTTGGATCATCATTTTGGGGTCCACGATGAAAGACATTCTGATTGAACATCATGGCATCTCCTTGAAGTAAGACGCCTCCTTCTTTGGCCGTGACACCATTTGAGGAAACGTCAAAAGCTTCGTTTTCATTGTATTCGTCAAAGGCTTCCTGGACATCTTCTTCTTGGTATTCGTATTCATTCGGTAAACAGAATTCGTCCATTTCTGGATTGGCGCACCAATGAGTTCCAGGACAGACGGTAGTGGCACCCATTCGAGAGGTAGTATCTTGAAGGGACACAAACATGGTGTAGGAATGCAAAAAAGTGCGGCCGTACAAAAGACTGGAACCAAAAAAGTCGGAATCCGAATGCAAGCCTTGATTTTCAGCACCATGTAGAGATGTGAGAGTTGAAATTTCGACAATGGCGGCATCTGGTTCGCCAAAGAGTCCTTCCAATGTAGCTTGAATCATGGGATTGTGTCCAATTTCGTGGATGGCTTTTTGAATCGACGGATCGTCGTTGAATCCCAGACCGAGACTGAGACGATTGATTCCTGTCCAAAATTTCTCTTGCCAACTGAGGGTGTCTTGAATTTCATGACGAGACTCTAAATACGATCTCAAGTTGGTAGCAGTTTCCGGAGTCAATACTTGTGGCAAAATGACAGCACCATGCTTCATCATAATATCTTGCGCATATTCTGGTGTTGTATTTTCATTTGGCAAAATCATCAGGTTGGATCGATCCGTCTTGTTGAGACCAAAAGTAGTGATGTCTTCCTTGGTGCAGTGACGGTGATAGTACGTTACGTCTTGATCCAAGGAAAAATAATAACCTCGGTCATCAGCGCCCTTGTCCATGATCCTGAAAGAATCCATGTACTTCACAAATGGACCTGAATACAATTCCTGACACAGGTAGGCACCCGTAAGAAACGTAAAGGGAATCACCAACAGGATAATCTCCAATAGAATCGACAAGGCAATTCGAGAGGATCGGAGGTTCCCTGCTTTTCCATTTGTAGCGGCGGAAGATGATGGAGAAGCAGAGAGACTTCGATCAATGTTGAAAGCAGACGGAGCAGAAATTCTTGAGGAAGTCTCTGCAGTTGCTGCTTCAGTTTTCGTAGCATTAGCGTGCGGGTGCAACGGTGAAGCTAATGACATCCTTGTTGATTTAGGGATCAATAAGTCTAGTTGGATGATGCAACAGATGATGCTGATGAGATGCAGATGAATACCTATATTCAATATTCAATATGCGATCCAAACGAAAATAAAAATGCTGTCTTGCATATATTATTGGAGCACGTGCCAATCATTCAACGGCTTGAATATACGAGTACTGTACTCCATGTAACAAAAGCGAACTTTTTGCTCCAATCAGACTTCGGATGTTATGCTTGATCGATTAAAATGATTCCTTTGCATCTGAAAAGAAGACATTTTCATGTTGGGTATATATATCGATCGGTACAGCATTGCACATACAGTAAATTGTAGATTTGATAAAGATGACTTGGAATTTCCTTCGAGAGTGAGAGCAAAATGAAACGAACTTTGTCCAGTATTCTGTTCAGTATTCTGCTCCACGACGGAAATGAAGAAGCGCCGGCGGTATGTATAGTATCTTTGAGATGATTCCGTACCGGCCGGTAGGGCGGAGTTGTCCGGTCGAAGAGGATAAATATTTTCTGTCTCGACTGCTTCAAAGAATTCTTGCTCATAGGCAGGTTGGGTTTACATGTTTATTATTTGACTTTTTCATCTTGCTCCTTCTAATCAGACGCGGAGGTGTTGCCGCGCTCCTGGTACTAGTACTGTAGGTAGTACTAGCAGGAGTAGAGATTTTTCCAGGTGCCTTTATCACCACCCTTTGCCGGAGACTCTCGAGTAAAAAAAAAAGCGCAAATAAGCCTAGGAGAGTTAAGAACAACGAGTAAGGCCACAGCAGATGGCCACCAGCATTCTTTCGAGAGACTTCAGCTGCTTGTTTTTTGTACGCGTGAACTGGGCCTGTAGTTCTGGTAGGACACCAGCAGTGCTGATACTCATGTTCAGAAGCATGGATCATGACTTTGACCAATTGCCCTGACCGGTACCGGTACCTGGTACCAGGAACAAGCATAATGACGCATTGGCTTTTAGAAATAGAATGTCTGCTCAGCTACAGTATCGCTACCAACTACTGTACTGATTCATTCAACAATGAAGAACTCATCGGAGCACTTGGCCGGAGTTTTTGTAGAAAAGGCCTGGAGAGTGAAGAATAACGAGTAAAGCCAAAGCAGATGGCCACCAGAATTCTCTGACTTGGGGAGCCCTAATCGTGGACAATGAATGCTCACCTGGGCAAAGAAAGATTATCTACGTTGATAGTGTATCATCTGTAAGAAAAGATAATTTCATCACAGTAAAAGATTGTTGAGACAGTGGGAGAGTGATACGAACAATTTTGTGCAAATGGACTCACCTAGCCAGGCCTCCGGCTCCAATGATTGTGCAGTGTACACTCTTGCTGCATGTGCTCACTATGTGTTCCGCACTGGCGATTTCCTGCCAACTTCATTTCAATTCCAAAATGGTATTAATGCAACCCGGTATGGTCGAGAGTGGAGACGCCATGTTCACAAGTCAATCATGAACCAGAGGATTGATATGAGCGACCCCGTTCTTGGTTGGATGGTTTTTCGACCATAGAATAGGAGATAAATTAGAAATGTTCGAAATCTCATTTGACAGGATTACTAGTCTTCCAATTCAACGTTTCACTCAAAGTACTTACATCAGAATGACAAGTAGGTAGTAACAACGATACCTTCTTGTTTTGTCTTGCTGCGGTATTGAATGCAAATGCTTCGACCGACCATCAAAAAGGCAAAGCACCTCGAATCTCGTTTAAGCAGTGCAGTAGCAAGATAAACCCCACTCCGCTTCTGCTTTCAAGTGGATTGTTGGATCGCTGCATTCTGATCAAACGGCGCCTCCTGTACTCAAATCGAGAGCTCCGATGCCGATTTTCAATTTATTCGAACTCTGGTCTTCATAGATTGTTGAGGTAGATTCAGGACAGACAGATATCATCATCCGTTAAAAGGATCGCCTTTATTTGGCCGAGTGACCAGATTCTGCGCTGTCAGGTTATGAGCCCAAGCTTTTACGCTTCTTACTGTGATTGTCAACAAGGAAATTGAAAGTGTGTTTCAATATCGTCCACAAATAAGTCAAAAACGCTTTTACTAATTTGAAGGTCTATCGACACCTATCAGTGATTCAGTGATCAGCAGCATGAATCCTAGTGATATGGTAACAGATGACGGTCGGGGAAGTCCAGTTCCAAGGAATGTTCAGTTCAACATACCTCCGAATACTCCTGCAGCGAGTGTTTCTCAGAAATCGCAACAGAGCGGAACTCCTCCACCACCACCGAAGGATATTATTGGCGGTGTGACCTTCTCAGCCAAGCCAAAGCTTCAGATCAATCTAATCAAGTCAACTGTGATCTGTCCAAAGGAGGAACGAGAACTGTTGAGAACAGCAAATCCGAAAGCGTATCATCAGTTGGAAAAAGACGCTAGCGGAACATCAGCCGATAGTCGCAACCAGCAAATCGAGGACATACCTTATGCCAAGACAGCAAGTGAAGTCCACGATGTAATAAAAGTTGAGAACCACATCACGGAGCATCTCACGAAGTTTGGGATCGATTGGTTCTTTGTCAACACAGTATTTCCCATCAAGAACAGGAACGGGGAATTTGAACAAAGCAAGCTTGAGAATCGAGCGGCAAATCTTTTGTCAGGTTATGCAACTCTTACCTTGGAAGAAGTCTTCGACTCAGTCGTATACCTCTATGGATACGGTTATGACGAAAGTCAGGGTGAGAATTCTTGGATGCCAACAGATCTTCAATGGTCTGGAACATATCTCAAGAATCAATGCACGAGCGATATGATCGATCGTATCGAGGAAGACTTGAAGAGCGCAGGGATCTCGAAAGACTTCTGGGGGTGGGGACCACTCATCTACAAGGTTCTTATGGATCGTATCTCTGCTAGCAGCTATCACGCACTCAAGGCACTTCGGGACTCTCTCGAAGAAGGTGATGGCATCAATTTGTACTCCAAGGTATATGATGGCAATATCCGCAAGTTCTGCACGGAAATTGAGTCTACCACCCTTATGTTGCGAAAGAATGAGAAGCACAATGCCAGAGGGGAAATTGTTGGCGAGCGCCACATGCCCAAGGGTTTGTCCGAGCGTCTTTTGAGGGTATTCAGCAACACAGGAAATGGTGACTTCGACGATTTGTTCCAAGGCGAACTTAAGCTTGGGAACCAGAGGTGTCTTCTTGAGAACATCGAAGGCGAAGCAGCATACGGCACGCCTGAAACCATCTTAATCCAAGCCCGCAAGTTCTATGACAGGCTCAATCTTTTAAATCAATGGGAGACGGAGGGAACACGAGCGGCTGCCTTCAACGCCGACATCGGTCCACCCAAAGGGAAATCAGGATCCAAGTGCTTCGGGTGTGGACGCGATAGCTGTCGCCAGAGCAATGCCACTTGTCCTCGTCACAATCTGGAAGCAAATCCCAAAGGGAAGAAGGCCAAAGCTGCTTTCGATGCAGCCAAGGCAGCGAAGAAAGCCTCGAAGGAATCTGGGAAGAAGGGCGATCAAGTTTCCAAGGGCTCAGAGAAGGGAGACAAGACCAACAAGACCGGAAAGAGCAAATGGCCTCCAGCTCCAAAGGGAGATGATCCCAAGGAACAAGAAATCAATGGAACTTTGCATTTCTATCACTTCAAAGACAAAAAGTGGTACAAGTGCAGAAAGCAGAAAACAACTGGAGAAGACGAACCGTCGCCAAATACCGGCCCCAGTGCGCACCTTCGTCCGCTCACACTTGCCTAATCTAAATCTAATATGCGTGCTCCATAACGCGGTGATGTTCGCATGAGAGGGAGTGTTGAGGTAGATTCAGGACAGACAGATATCATCATCCGTTAAGGATCGCCTTTTGGCCGAGTGACCAGATTCTGCGCTGTCATTGATGCACCGATGTTGCGCTTTTTGCTCCTGTCTGTTTTGCATCATGGCTATTTAGCGTCTGTTGTGGTCAGTGTCGTGCGCTGTCATGCTCCATCGCTCTTGTTACTTATTGTTGGAGGCTGGCGATCGAAGTGTTGTCAATTGAAACCAATGATGATGATGATGCTTGTAACGAGCTACCAAAATATCCGAAAGAGCAATTAATTTCCGTCTTGTTTTGTACTTATATTAGTCCCACAAAAAGAACGTTGAAGTGTTGACGGGAAACGGCCGATGCGGGTTGTTCTTTATTCCAGACATCGATCAAAATTATACTTCACAATTTTAGATTTTCGTCAAACATGAGTCTTCAACACATTATCAACCTCAACAACTACATGGTATTTCTGCTGGAATCCAAACAGTCGAGTTGGGCTGTTAAAAATGGAGTGCATGCCATGGAGCTGATGGATCAGCTCAACGAGGACCAACATCTCACTCTTGCTAGCCAATCATCATTATCCGTGCCATGCAAACAAGAAGATGCTCACGATATTGATCACTATATGCATTACATGGAGCACAGTGATCTCTATGACTGGGACGAGCCCAGTGATGACTATGTTTATGAGCGCGGTGTCACTCTACCATCAACAGTCACTGACTTCAAATGTATCATCGCAGTTCTCATCTTCAACTTGGCCTTGTCCCATCAGCTCTCAGCGTCCACAAGGCACCAACACGATGACCTACGTCAAAAACTTCTGCACAAAGCCAAACGTCTGTATGAGCTTGCGCTCCGAGAACAAATCGTAGACCACTCTACTGCGTTCAAATTCGCCGCCGTCAACAATGTTGCAGTCATTTACAGAATGATGGGCGATGATGAAACGTCACAAAAATATTTGGATTATTTGGTGTCTCTTCGGATGCATGTTGTAAGCGTTGGGGATTGCCCACAATTGCAACAAATGAACGGCTTCTGGAGAAACGTATTTGGTAAAGGAATATCCATTGCTCCTGCTGCATGACAATTTGCTGCTGGGCCCCTCGTAGAAGAAACCACTTTATAACCTGCTTTTGCCAATAAATTGGTGTACTAACCCTCTATTCTAGAAACTACATTGCCTTGTTTTTTAAACGTCTGATCTCCCGTTGAGGTTACCGGCAGATCAAATTGGTAGGTATCGCGAGCCATGGTGGATTTTGTTGAGATTGAATCATCATGTTCTTAGCATATCACCATCGCTCCGGTGTCACCACATATTTTCCCTTGCGAACGAAGTATAATGTTATGTTCTCTGATCAGAGGTTGCCAGTTACCTTTTTCTTGTTCACGGCCGCACGACCGCCATCACAGAACCAGAGGACGCGACATGGGAAAACGAAGCCGCGGGACCTCTCTTTGAGCTCTAAATATACACAAAAGTTATCATTCTTAGAAAAACAGCATGTACCGGTACGTACAGAATGATCAGAGACGACGAAACAGTAGTGTATTTGCATTATTTGGTGTCTTCTCAGATGCATGTTCATATAGTTGATGGTTGGTGAAGAGCCCTTTTACTTTGCATGCGTTACATTTCTTCCTGTAGCCACACTCTGGCAATAAGAACAAAGCGTGACCGATTCGCTTGGTGTTATTCAAAAGCGAAACTGTTGAATGGAGCGCTCACCGAATCATTATGTATGCGTTCGGGCAGGTAACGCCTCGTCTCATTTTAGAAAATTCGAAAATAGCTCAAGCAAGCGCGAACAATAATTACATCCGTTCCATTCCGGTCATGCGTTCCTAGTCTTCTTATTGACACACTTCAAAAGCAAGATCAATATTTTTTGTATTATATAAAACTACCTGTTGATTCCCCTGTTTTCAATGGCTTCAAAGTGATCCCATGAAAACGAAAATTGCTCACCCTAGTATTGTGTACCTATTTTTCTTTCTTCAAAACACAAATAATCCATCATGATGACCCTTGAATCCGTGAAAAGGCTGAACAACCAAGTTGTTTCCCTCTTGGACTGCGGGCTGTTTCATGAAGCTTACCAGCTTTCGCTGACGGCGATGGTACACTTTCAAGAGATGGTATCAATGCCTGAAATATCCAATTATACTTCTTCGTCGATCGATGAATACATGGTTGCTCTAGGAAACTCGAGGGGTGGAGCGGCGGGTGACTTTGTGTATCAGCATGGTATCACTTTCACTTCCGCTATGGTGGAAGATCCCTCAACGATAACCTCAATCCTTATCTTCAACTCTGCCCTATCGCACCAGCTATTGGCTTCTGCGATGTACTACAAAGAACCAGCATCCTTGTATCAACGCCTGCTCGAGAAAGCCAAAATGCTGTACAAGCTTGCCTACAGTGAACAAAGAGGAGACTATAACTATATATTCAAGCTTACTGTCCTCAATAATATTGGAGTAATCTGCAGGTTACTTGACGAAGAAGAACAGGCACAGGAGTGCTTTGACCATTTGGTGTCCTTGCTGATGCAAGGAGTCGTCCAATCCGGTGTCTGTGATCACACTACGACGCATTTCGAACAATTTTGGGCAAACCTAACCGTGAAGCATGTTGCCCCCGCTGCGTAACAGCCGAACAAGACGATTCATTCTTGCACCCAAAAACCTTGTCAGTTTTTTCTTTCGAACAAGTTATTCTAAATTGGATCCACAATGCTATGGCCTTTATCTATCCCGAGTCGCTACTTTAAAACCATATTGTCATTTTGCAACGTTACATTTTGTCTATAGCGGTCCTATGGCAATACATTTTTGTTGGTGATTTTAGAAGCCTGAAATAGTCTTCAAAAATAAACACCGCACCCTACCGTACAGTCGAAGAGGTCGAAAGCGGATGGAATTTTAGTCGACATCTTGCCGAATTTCAAACCATCCAACGGTCGGCAAGAAGATCTTATTTCACAATCGACATCCAAAGTTTGTAAACGAACATCTGCTACCGGTATGAAGATTGGATCAGTGCTTCTCGTATCGCAGCTGCTGCTATCCGAAGCTCGCTTTGCGCCTCCAAACTCGAGCGACAAGGATAATAATGTGAGTCTACCAGGAGCAACAACACAAATGCTTCTTGGTGTAGCGAAACCCAATCCCAACCTCCGAGGCGGTGATCGTCGACTTTCCAAGAAGGAAAAACGTCAGAAGCGAGGCAAAAGGAACAATCGAAATAACAACCAGAAGCTTAACGTCTTTCGGCGACCGACGAAGCATGCGAAGAATCGAGGCAAGACTGTTAACCGGAGACAAATAAAAAAATTGATTTCGTATTTGCATAAGATCAGAGAAGCAGGAGTGGTGAATAGGACTGAGATTGAAGAAAAGTTTCGAGTCACTTTCCATATGACTATACACGAAGTAGTGTCGGCAATTCAACAGAACATCACAAAGCTGAATAACGAAGACTTGCAGTTGCTTCAATTCCTCCAAAATGTCGCCACCGCAATCAATGCTGAAGATGCTGCTCGAGCCAGCAGAGCTCAGAGTACTTCCAGTAATGGAGCCAGAAGTTCCACTACTAGCTCCAATAGTAATGGAAACAACGCAGGAAGTGCTGAAAGTCGAAGCAATGTAAATGGAAGCTCTCCGGTGAATGCTGCTGAAACGGAATTGGCGTACGATCATGATCATGATCATGCCTTGCCAGACCTTGCTGAGATTGAATTAGAAGAACAATCGGATAGCCCCAGTGGTGCACCAACGACATTGGAGTATACGGCCATGGTGCTCGATTCAAGTGAAGGCGATGACGAAGCCGATGACGACGATCTAGCCGACGATTATATTATTTCACCTGTCGCAAGCTTGGTCGCCCAGGATGATGATGACGATGACGACGGCGAAAAAGTCGATGACGATGCTGCCGTTATGAGCGTAATGATTGAAGACAATGACGACGCAGATGACGATGACGGAGGAGACGATGATGACGAAGAAGCAGACGATAATCTCGAAGCAGACGATTCAACTTTCGCAAGCTTCATGATTGAAGATAATGATGACTTAGCCGGCGATTTTGGAAGCTTGATGATTTACGATGATGGCGAAGCTGATGATGACGAAACAGCTATCGCAAGCTTGATGATTGACGACGATGAAGATGAAGCTGACGATGACGATGACAGTGTTCGAAGTATCGTAAACTCCACATTAAAACCACTGACAAAGATAGAAGATGAAGGAACAAACACTTATTGGCTCGGGGAATGCCAAGGAGGTATGTATGCGTGTTGCTATCAATGCGTCGTGTTCTTGATGAGCGAAACTAAAAGATTACTTTGTTCCAATTCTTGTGGCATCCAGATTGCGACTACAATTCAGGTATGTGTCACCTTGTCTGTTCCTCGATAATTTTTTGATTTTCCAAACTGACACGTTTCCTCTCGAAATGTAGATTGCAACGTTGGGCTTGTTTGCGGCTTTAGGAACTATGAAGGTGACGATGACGGTATCGGTGATGTCTCAGTTCCTGGATGCTCGCTCGACCCACGACAGATTGGCACTGGATCAGACGACTTTTGTCACAAACCGGAAACGTCCAACACGTTGGTGATCATGGCAGATCGAGAGTTAGATCTGAGTATGGATAAATATCCACTCAGCAGGTGTCAGGGAGATTGCTGGGACGACGAAGACTGCTTGGGGGATCTTGTCTGCGTGTATTTTGATGATGATAGGAAGGATGTTCAAGATTGCGTTGGATGGGCCGAGGTACGTCTGAGATGTGGATGCTTGGAAGCGCTAAAACTTGAGTTACAAAAGCTTACATGTTTTTTCATCCAACCACAGGAAATGTATAGCTATTGCTTGGAATCATAAGATACTATTGACTTACATATTTGGCTATTATTGTATCCGTTCGCTCTAATTCGATAGATTTATTATCCAGGTGGCCATGTGAATTCCCGTCCTCCGAGGACATGAATGTGCAAATGAAAGACTTCTTGGCCTGCACTTTTTCCATCGTTGACTACGATGCGAGCACCATTGCCAAAGCCCAACGATTCATCAGCGGCAATCTCCCCAGCCGTTAGCATCAAGTGCCCCAACATTTCCGATTGCTCCTTGGTTGCCTTGCTGAGTCGCGTCAGTCCATTGCGATCTTTGGGAATCACCAAAACGTGTGCAGGAGCTGCTGGATTGATATCTTTGAATGCCATCATCTTGTCATCTTCCTTCACAATGGTTGCAGGGATTTCTCCAGAAATAATCTTGTCAAATAGTGTCTCTGGTTCTTTGTCACGAACTCCTGCCAACCAAATAGAATCCCATCGACCATTCTCGTCCCATTTTTGCAATGCCCCCATCATCTGCAAAATGATTGTCATAAAAAGAAATATGTATCTATTGAGACCTCCAAGTCAACGCGTCAAGTAATGCTTTTGCTGACTACCATTTTTTCGTGTTTCACCTACCTCGTCGTACACCTTGCGGAATGCTTCGTCCGAGGCAATCAATCCCTGGAACCACTTGGTAATTTTATCTGGAATAAAATCGGATCCTTCCAGATGGGCGAATTTGGGATACATGTAAGATGCAAAGACAACAGAAGGGAAAAGCTGTGGAGAAAGAAACATGCAAGTTGGTCACATTGCAAATGACTGATCAATTTGAATCAATGACATTTCCCAACCACCTACCGTGGCATCTGCCAAGGAGACTTCCGAACCACAAATATATGGTCCAGACGTTTGCTCGGGAAATAGATCGGCAATCACATAAAGTTGTTTGGAATACTCCTTCAAGGCATCCTGCCGAGTGTGGAAACTACCAAACGGGGGGGCTGCCCTGTAGAGGCACGTTTGAATGGTAGTCAAGTAGAGATCGTGGAATCGGGCAATTTGATTGGAAATGGGATTGTTTGGCTGAAAGGATGGACCGATACCTTCGTACGTCGAAATAAGATATCGAGCCTACCATCAATCAAATTTTAACACATACATATATGAAATGAGGAGAGACGAGATGGATATTAAAAGTCTAGTGTCATATAGACCTTCTTACTTACACAAGTGTCCGACTCGGCGAGACATAGACCACTGTCATGAATCTGTAGGGCCGGAACCTTTCCTTGAGGGCTGACTTTTAGATACTCTTCTGATCGAAAGCCACCAAGCTGAGCCGGGGACAAGATCGAGACCTCTGATTCTTCTAATTGTTTCTTGTTGATAATAATCCGACAGCGAGCCTGAAACAACAGATGGGTTATGAGAGAAAGGTCCATACACTGACGATTTGAGTGGTTGACTGATTGACTGATGCTTATGCTTACCCCATTGTTCGAGACGGGAATGTCATACAGTGTATGCTTGGGTGACACTGAAGAAAGAGCGTCACAGTAGAATGCATCATTCAGTAGAAGTAGGCATGATGCAAAGATTAGACCAAGGACTGTTTTCATGATGAACGAATACTCCCGATCGCGACCTTTTTGTAGATTTGAAGTTTGTCGCAGTGTATAGATATGATGTATTAATACAGGTACAGTACGTACTGATGTGTGCAATGTGTTGTTAAATTATTGTGACGTTGATGATGAAAATGTTTCCCTCAAAATAATAATAATCCTTCATTGATTATTATGCAGTGTGAAGGCCAGACTGAGCTCATGACTGATGGTCATAAGTGACTCACTCACTCAGACTCAAACATGCATGCGACAATAAAATGACATGAAACGAAATGACTTTTATTGTAGTCGTCAAAGTTTGTTCAAAAACACGCGCTATCATGCTTGCTCTCTTGCACGCGCAATCAAAACTGAGCAATCAAAAATACCAACAGTATTGCATATAAAATACCGTAAATGTTTTATGAATATATTTTTATGAGAGAGGAATAATAACGACTGCAATCACTACACAACTTCATTCAGTATACTGTACAGATACCGACATTATTATCATAATCGTATTGTTGGCTGAGCTTCTGTCTATCATCTTCGTCTTGTGAACGAGGCAACTGGGCATGTCTTCTGCCTATTGCCGCTTCTAACAGTAGTCAACTAAGAGAAACGAAAAAGACTTCAGACTTGACTGCCATCGCAGTATGACAAATCCCTCAACGGAAGAAAAACGAAAGAGCAAAAGCCGTTTCTCGTTGAAGAAAAAGCTGTCGTCTACCAGGAAAAAGAATAAGAATCGTTCCAGCAATATCAATAAGACTACCAACGGCGGTAATGGGGAAGGGTCAGCAGAGTTTGGATGCTCCTCTGGGAGTTTCCATGAGCCTTCCGAAGAGTTGACGAATCAGGCTCAGCACGACGAATTGCAATCATCAGACGAAACGGAAGACAAACCTGATACTCAAAAGCGGGATCGTAGAAAATCTAACCTTAAAAATAAGGCATTATTAGGCAATGCAGGCAATGCAGGCAATCCAAAGAAGACAGCATCATCTGATAACAACAACAACAACAGCAACAACAGCAAGCGTCCAAACAAGAAAAAATCAGCAGTTCCAAATAACAAGGTTCCGAGTGGGCATGCCCAGGTCCCAGTTCAATCAAATGTCCCAGCCAGTGCCTATGGGCTGAATAAACAAATTAACGGAAAGAATGTCCAATACACGGTCAACGAAAAAGGTGAATCGGTCCAATTCTCCGTCAATAAAAAAGGGGTTCCCGAGCTTTGGCTTCAGGTGGACCATGATCAGTGCCTGGTATCGCCAATGACCATTGCTTCTGCCTCCTCTTCGTCGCTGTCGACGACGCAACAAAGTCTGGATTCTCAACCCATGAGCAGTTCCAAACAAGATCTATTCATGAAGACATCTCTACTGACCATCGGAGAAGGTGGAAAACCAAAAGAAAATGGTGTCCGGCCAAAAGTCAATTCGCTCATGGGGGAACGAACTTCTGAAAATATTGAGGACGACGGTGAGGATGATGATTCGATTGCTGCGGAAGAACAATTATTGAACCAATTTGATGATACCTATAAGAAGGCTGCTGCCGAATTACCAAAGCCAAGGGCTAAGAATAAGAAGGTTGCAGGCAAAAAGAAAAAAAAGAAAGAAAAGGATAAGAAAAAGCGTTCCAAAGCAACCGAATCGGGCGATGAAGATGACCGAAAAACCCAGCCACAGTCGAATTCGGCCATGCCTTCAGCCAAGATCCCTAGTTTAGAGGAACGATCATCAATTAAGCTTCCGCCCGCCAAGAATGGTGGAAAGTCGGTGAAGAAAATAAAGAGAAAATCCGAAAAAGCTCGGGTCAAGGATATGAAAGCTATTGCTGAAGACGAACCAACCAAGGATATGAAAGCTATTGTAGAAGAACCAATTTCACCTCCACCGGCTCCTCCTCGGCCGCAAACTACACCGCCAAGTGCGGGCGGTGGTCGTAGGGTCAGTCGAAGGATACAGCGCATAAACTCCACTCCCGCTTCCACATTTTCATCCTTGGACACTTCCTCGCCAGAGCCTAAGGATAGCAAAGCTCGTGCTAGTGTTATGTTGTCCCCCATCAGGCAAGGTTCATTATCGAAATCTACGCGTTCATCCACTTATGAAAGCCCTCGTCGAATGAACCTCAAGGACTTGCGCAAACGCTTTGGAAGCCAACAAAGTGAAATCTCACTCTCCTTAAGTCCGGCAGCTCGGGCAGCTGGCAGCTATGGGGAAGTGCCATCCGAGCTCCAGGCATATGGTCGACCAACGGATCAGCGAAGCAAACGACCGGGATTGAAACGGAAGGAATATCGAATGTCACAGCGGTCCCTTCGAAATCTAGAACCAGAATCAAGTGTCTCAGACGATGACCAAGATGATAACTTGGTCGAATACTTGAAGAGTTCTAATTACAAGCTAGACCTGTGAGAGTGCAAGGGGAAATGAGACCTGTCATTGTCGTTCATGCTGAGCACATTCTACGGGGGGGGGTGGCGCGCAATGACCATTGAATGGAAGATGTGTGGTTTTACCGTAAAGAAATGTGTTATTGGGATGTATGTTTGATGTTGTCGGACTATAGTGACAGCTGGTTCTTTCATGGTGATAATGCTACTACTGTTAAATGTACTGATTTATTTCTCGATCTGTTAGTGTTCGCCCGCTACCAGTGTATTTCTTCTTCTGGGTGCTCGTGGCGAAGGAACCTCTTGGGAACGTAATTTGCTGGCTTGGCTCGATTCTCTCTTGCCTTGGCCTGTCGTTGGTCTGGCGTTTGTCTATAGGATTCTTCCGAAAAGCATTCTCGAATGGATCCATACCTCCATCCTTGGGCATTCAACATGGGCTGCAAATAGGAGTTGGGGAGATGATCTCGAAGGGCTTTGGGCAAGCGAGTCACCAGTTTTGAATATTCAAACGAGTTGTTTGGAGCTCCAAGACCGTAGTCCATGTCGTCTCGACCTTCACCAGCATCTTGTCGGTGATGCTGTACAAATTTGCTCAATTGAGCATTTTGGAGTGCTTTTCGGAGCAGCCTCACGTTGGTATCAAAGGCCTCTCCCATGAGATGCCACCCGATTTCTCCCGAGTCGGTTATGAGAATTGGATCCACCAAGTGTTCTAGTCCACCACTGCTACGTGGAGGAGGGAGGGTAATGATGGCATCCGCCCCCTTGACAACTCGATAGACACGAGTGTTTAGTGCAAACAGTCGTCGTCGCGCATCGATCATGGACTTCAGTTGGGGGCTGACTGTGCGCGGACTGCCACTGGTGACTACCACGAGGTCATGCGGTAGTTGATTCCAATCATATTCCAATATCAAATGGCAACCAACCAAAGTGGCAATAGCACCACCAAGAGAGTGCCCCACAATGTGCAGGGTTCGAGGCCGTCCACTAGGTCGCAAGACCACCTCAATGTATTGTTCAATCTTGGGCCAGACTTCCAGGAAGAGTTGGTAAAAGTATCGGTTGACTGTAATATCAGACGATGATTGACAGATGGATGCTCCACCACCACCAAAGAAACTGCAAAATACGCCTGGCGATGGCATGGACATTTCCTCCTTGGACATGGAGGACAAATTCTTTTTCCAGAAGGCAGTGGAGGTATCCACATCAGCAATCCAATCAAAAGCTGACTGCCGACTGCTAAAGGCAAGGACCACCATGTCATCGTTCTGCGCTACATATCCATGAATCGTATTATCTTCAACTCTCCACGATCTGGTGTTCCACTCCTTTGGTGCATTTGGATCTGCTGCTGGGGAGGATTCAAATTCGGTCAGCAAGTTCAAGTTCAAGTCTTCCTTTAGAATGGAAGCAAGAGGTTTGCTGGCTTGATCTCGTCGTGAACCAGTAATGAGCTTTACCGCTTCAGCATCCCATGGGAAGGTTTGATTCTTGTTGGTTTCTATAGGCGGATTTTCGGTGGATCCAAACCATGAAGGCGACTGAGCGGGTTTGGTCGTGGGTCGTGGTGGTGCGTTGTCATGATTGTTGGACTCTTTTCCAGCAGCTAGGATTCCCAACATAACTCCCTTGGTCACTTCTTCCATGACTGCGCCTTCCAAAGGCTCACTCACTTTATTGATTATCACCATCGTCGATTATTGCGTTCTTCGCCTAGGCTCGGTGATAGTGTGAATTCTTTTTCTGTCGCCTCCTCCTTCGCCCGTTTAGATGATGCGGTAGCCGAGGAGCAGGTTATACTCTTCAGATACTGCTTCTTTTAGCAGATGGATCGATGCGCTCTTTTATAGTATGAAAACCAGGAAGTACCGGCAGTAGTAGATGCCGAGAGTGGCAGCGAAAAGAAAAGCGACGGCGGTAACTGCTGCTGGCGATGGCTACCTACCGGTATGCATGGATTGGTATTTGATAATAAGAAGCGAATACCGCAGCTTTTGGCGATTATGCGACTGCCGTTCAATCACGAAATAGACTCTAGATTGGACGTGCGGGCTCGGGGAGGTGCGGCAGGCTAGGGAGGCACAGTCATTAGACTTCATCTGGCACTTTAAGTGTTGGGCCTTTTGAACGGGCAACTTATTATGTGAAAAGTTCGCGAGCAGAGCTTCCCTTTGTATTTGTTGGTATTAAATGAATAAAAATGAATGGTCTGGAAAACAGGTCAAAATACACTTTTTCTTAGAGCGTGTTCCCGTTTTCTCGCGAAAGGAGATTCAAAAATCTCGAACACCGTCCACTTTTCAGTTTTCAAAATCTCCTCTCCTACCGGTATTTCACTTTCACACACGAATAATACGGTACACTTTTGACGCCCACCATATTATTGGCCTTGGCATTCATCACCACAGGTCGATTCAAAAAGCATTGAAACAACTCTCAACAGTCCATCGCGTTTTCCTTCTTTTAATATGAGACTTCCCCCTCCTTCCATTGTTCCACCTCCTCCACCACCATCTTCCGACCACAGTGAAGAACATCCTCCAGCGCCTCCAACTCCGCCTTCAGAATCGGAGGAAGATGGTGATTCTGATGAAGTCGCACCCTTACGGCCACAAGGCCGCAGACGACCTACTACTGGCGGTAGGGGGATGCCCCAACGCGCCAGATCGTCCCGATCCAACCTATATTCTCCTGAAGTTCCAGATGGACGCAAGAAACTGAATGGTCTTCCGCCAAAGGCTGCTTCTACCAGAGGATTTTAAGACTGACGGATGGATGGATGGATGAATGAATGTCTGTAACATTTAGCATGCTGCATATTATACACAAATACACAAATACACAAATACACAGATACAAGTACTATTACATTACATTACATTACATGTACGCAAACAAAGCCAAAGCAAACGAATTGAAGAATGATACCAAATCCGAACCGAAGCCAGAATAATTGAATATAAGCTTATTATGCCAATCTTGTGATGGTCGAAGCTTTCTACGAAGGATGCCCGCACCATACATCCACGAGCCATCACATCATGCTCTGCTGTGATAGCAGGTGTGTATTTACCTTTCTCGCTAAAGTGAACATCTACACAAGATGAGGTGCATATCGATTGATTCAATTATTCCTGTCGCAGACCGGATATAGGTAGACATGAAACACTAGAAAAACTGATTTGATTTGTCCTATACAAAAATTTTCATTCATCAAAACAATCACATTTCCCACTAAGTGTAGCTTTCGCTACTCCGAAAACAATCTCATATCCTACCAAAAACATAAAAATAAATCCAATTATTATAATTTAAAAAGCGAAATAAATGATGACGATCCAATCCAAACCATGGATCTAAACCTCTCATGCATATGTTGCAAACAGATCCTTCGAATGGTTGAGATTTCAATCATCATAAGCATTTTAATTGCTATGCTAGTTGATCTCTTCCACCCGCAGAAAAAATTACAATTTCGCAACGGCATTATTATACTGTTGCGTCGTCGTCAAGTTGAGTATTTGGGAGGAAGACTATATACTTGGCCTTACGTTGAAAAAATATTCCAACGAGACTTACCGGCAATTGCACTCCCTCGACGTTGTTCATACACACCACTTTCACGTTTCTCAACGTACTGCTTGCGAATTTCTTCGTCAGGTCTCAAGATGAAAATGTTGTCTTTGGGATCCACCGACGGATCTTTCAGGTTGCGGAACATGGCCATAATGTCTCCGACCTTGATGCCGGGAGCATCTTCGTCATCGTATCGGGTGATGCGGCGAAAGTTCTCTTCATGGAATTCAACGTTAGGCATGTTGCTAAGGCGTTGTTCCAATCGTTTCAGTTCCCTTGGTTCTTTGATATGAAAGTCTTGATTGCGATCGGTTTTCAGGACAATGTCCATGACTTGTTGCATGACTTGTTGTTCCAAACAGTGATTCATTTCCTTGGTGATAGCATCAAACTCTTCAATGCTCGAGTTCAATCGATCAACACCAATGCCCATGGTGGTTGCTAGAGATTCAATATCACGAGTCACATAGGACAGTCTATAAGAAGGAAGCGAGGGATGATTATAGGATTGGCATGTGGGCTGTTAGTGACGATTTCTGCAATCGCAGCAGAAGGATGCTATATTCAACATATATTTATATATATGCTTTGGATAGCCTCAAAGTCGTATACGTACTTGTCGTTCTCCAATTGAAACTTGTCGTTACTTGCCGTCAGCTTGTCGTTTTCCAAGGTCATCTCGTTGACCATCTGCAATGAATGAATGGATGAACGAATGAATGAATGAATGAATGCATGGATGGAGCAATCAAAAGGTGAAGGAAGGTAGAAAGAGCGCATGTCAGCATCACATATAATTTCAATTGAGATGCAATCCATGCACGTGGCTTAACATGGCTGAATAGGACAATATGGTAAAGACTCACCGCTCGAAGCTTGTTGATATTCCCGCGAACGCCTCCTAATCTTGCCAATTTCCCCTTTTGCCACACCGCCAAGAATCCAATTCCAATGATTAGAGCACTGGACACGTCGACAATGAACAAGGCGCTGATGATCATTACAACGCCTTTGATATGTGCAGAAACAGGAATGGGCGAAAGTCGGATCATAAGGCATATATTCCAAGACACAACGGATATTACGCAGATAGAATCATTAGGTGAGAGTGTGATATCAATCATAGCAGACATGTGTACACCATAAAAATCAATGAAAGAATCAATCAATTCACTCTCGTTTGTTTGTTTGTTTGTTTGTTTGTTTGTTTGTTTGTTTGTATGTTTTACTTACCAGCAACTCCAACAACTCCCAGCGCCACAAGAATGAAAGGAAGAAGATTGAATTTAGTTACCAATTTATCGGAATCCTTTCCGTCCACTTCACCATCTTCTTTCACTGGGCTTTTTCCCAAATTGTCGAGCGACTTTTTTATTTTGTACACTTCATAAAAATAGGAAGACATGATGATTCGTATTCAAGCCCGACTGGTGTATGAATATGAATGGTGGAGGGACAAGGCTTTGTTCTAACTTGTTGGGTATTGATGATGATGATGATGATGATCGATGAGGATATATTACATATCAAAGATACATGCGCCTTATCAGAGCGCGGGCGAGCTTTATTGGATGCCACGACGATTCTCAAAGGTTTGACTACCTCGAACCAAATTCTCCAGAAACAACACAACTATTAATATATAATAAGTTCACATTCACCTGTAGTTCGATCATCATTACAACTACATAGCTAGCTGACACATGAATGACAGAATGGACCTGGGGGATTCGACGACAGGTTTGGATCGGAGCTTATTGGGCAGCTGGTCAAACCGAAAAAAGCCGAGTCAACAATCACATCGCTCGGTAGGAGTGACCCCCACGCACAAAGCGTCTGATTGAAGGATGATGTACCGTTGAACATTGCATTCATATCAGTGACAACAGATACATTCCAGGATGATAAGTCTTGATTGAAAGATGCTGCACCATTGAACATCTTGGACATGTTACTCGAAGAAGAAACATCCCATGATGATATGTCTTGATTGAACGATGATGCATCTTGGAACATGAAGCTCATGTCGATGGCAGAAGACACATCCCAAGAAGATATGTTTTGATTGAAGGATGATGCATCTTGGAACATAAAGCCCATGTCAATGGCAGACGAAACATTCCAGGATGACAGGTCTTGATCGAAGGATGATGCCCCCTCGAACATGTGACTCATATCGACCACAGAAGAAACGTCCCATGACGACAAGTCTTGATTGAAGATGGAGTTGCTGCGAAACATCGCATGCATATTCGTGGCAGCCGAGACATCCCACAATGAAAGGTCTTGATTGAACGATGATGCCCCAAAGAACATGTTTCCCATATTGGTGACCGACGAGACATCCCATGATGACAAGTCTTGATTGAAGGTCTTTGCATCGTGGAACATACTGCCCATCGCATTGACAGACGAGACATCCCAGGATGACAGAGTTTGATTAAAGGATTGTGCATTGTCGAACATGCCAGCCATATTTGTAACGGAAGAAACATCCCACGATGACAAGTCTTGATTGAATGACAATGCATTGCTGAACATGCCGCCCATGGCAGTCACAGAAGAGACGTCCCAGGATGACAGAGTTTGATTAAAGGATTGCGCGTTGCCGAACATGCCAGCCATATTAGTAACAGAAGAAACATCCCATCGTGACAAGTCTTGATTGAAAGACGTTGCATCGTTGAACATGCTGCCCATGGCAGTCACAGAAGAGACGTCCCATGATGACAGGTCTTGGTCGAAAGATTGTGCGTTGCCAAACATGACAGCCATATTAGTAACGGAAGAAACATCCCATGGTGACAAATCTTGGTTGAACAAGGTTGCATCGTTGAACATACTGCCCATATTTGTTACAGAAGAAACATCCCATAGTGACAAGTTTTGGTTAAAGGATTGTGCATTGCCCAACATACCAGCCATATTTGTTACAGAAGAAACATCCCATGATGATATGTCTTGATTGAATGATATGGCACCGTTGAACATACTGTCCATATCAGTCACAGAGGAAACATTCCATGATGACAGGTCTTCATCAAAGGATTGTGCGCTGTCAAACATCTCCGTCATGTCGGTAACGGAAGAGACATCCCACGACGACAAGTCTTGATTGAACGATTCTGCAAAGGAAAACATAGACCGCATGTCCGTGACCAAATGCACATCCCATGACGACAAGTCTTGATTGAAAGAACTAGCTAGCTGGAACATCTGCCTCATGATTGTAACAGTAGAAACGTTCCAATTCGAAATATCTTCATTGAAACTAGCGCGATTTCGAAAAAGTGCTTCCATGCGGGTTACACCTGCACCAAAACACCAGTCCCTGATCGGACCATATTGCGCCTCGACTGATGTCTTCAATAGAGTCGATGTAAACCAGTCACCAACTGCATCAGAGAGATCGCTATTGGTTTGAAAACATGGCCATATTGTTGTTATCGGCCCTGGCATTTCAGTGGGCATTTGAGTGGGAATCGACGACGGAGCTTCGCTGGACACCACAACTGTTGCAGTTGCTGGAACTGGAGCCGGATCCGAATTGTTTGATAACAACGCAGCTGCCACGATCACCCCTACCACAAAGATAATAAACAAGATCAGAACTTGTCTAATTCTTTTCCATTTGCTAGTAGATATTTCTTCCACATCTGTTGCGACTACGACATTGCTTTCAGTATTCTGTCGCTCCTCTTCCAGTCGTTCTTGAACAAGGGCTTCCACATCGGGTGCTACTGTAGCTTCCACAATAGTTCCATTTTCTCCACTTCGGATAGTCCCATTTTCTTCACTTTTGTCATCGTCGCCCAATTCAATTTGACAGCCATTCCCTTGTTGCTCCTCTTGTTGTTGTTGTTGTTGTTGTTGTTGTGGCTGCAGCTCCTTCGAGGGCCGTTGTCTCGAGGATACAGCGTCTGCTGATATAGCCAGTGCTCCAACAGCTGCCGGTGCTTGTGATAGTCGGGATCTTCGACCTCTTTCTTTGTCTCCCTTCGAGGTTGATGATGGTGATGTTGATGATGTTGAGGCCGATGTTGAGGCTGATGCTCTATCGGCAGTGCTTTGCGACCTGCTTTGATTTGTATTTGGCAGCAACACATCAGCAATCGTGACAGAGGATGACGGGGAACCTTCCGCGAGCCTAAGCCTTGTTTCTTCATCCTTGTCGTTGTCGCTTTCCCCTTTATTTGGTTCTGCCATTACTTCAATGCCAAGGTGAAAAGAGAATAATCGATGCGCTGGGCATATATGATAGAAGAGCTACTGTATATGATGTTGATGTTTGTGGTTCTTACAGCATTCAATATACCGGTATACACAAGGTACCAGGTATTAATATACCGCTAATTGGGTGGTGATTTGACTTTTATAAAAAATGCTACACGTTTTCAGTTTTGTCCCACATTCAAAATGTTTCAGGCATTGCCAACTCGCTCGATGTGAGTATTTTTCCATAAGTGTTTGAAAACACATATGAAATATTGCGATGTGCGCCATGCCAGTGACATACCCACATAGCATTATCGTTTGCAAACGATGCATGCATGGTTTGACTACCTCGAACAACATCTGCTTATTTCCGTCCGTCAACAGTGACGTGGTTTTGTGGGGTTCTGAAAATCTTTTGCAGATGATGGCTAATATACTCGGATGTAATCATCACACCGCATCATAAAATCATCATCGCATCAACTCTAGAAGTATACGGTAGTACCGGTATAGTTAGTTTGGTGCAAATGGAGAAAATTAGTCAACTGTTGCTTCTTGTGGCATTGGCCACACAAGCCACAGGTTTTACTCAATCGAACCTTGTTGCCAATAAGCCAGTACTAACATCGTCATCAGTTCCAGCTAGTAACAACAATCCGAAGACTGCTCTTTTCATGGCAGGATTCGGTGGAGGCGGTGCCAAGAGCGCAAAAGGCAAGAGCAAAAAGAAGGATGCGCCCATCAAACTAAAGCCCAAACTTCAATGGGATCGCTACGCTGCACTGAAGAAGACTGCTGCCAGTGTTGCCGTCGGAATTCGCTTGGTCGGTGAAGAAAGTCCCGAATGGTTGTCTGTTGGCAAGGTGAAATCCAAGGATGATGAACTCACGGCTGCAGCAGTCGCCATGCAACGAGGAATTATTGCAGAGGTATGTGGATTCATTCCATATTGAATCAAAAATCAACCTGATGCTGAACCTTGTTTGTAATTGGTCATATGTCACTGCCATGTCACGTTATATATGTCTCACACTTGACTGTCGCTCCTTATTCTGCCATTTCAATTCGTTCCATTTCGTTTCGTTTCGATCGTAGCATGGCAAAAGGTTATTTCCATTGCAAGTTTCCAAAAAGTCGACTGTCGAGTGGGGATACAAGGAAGGTGATTCTGATTCCGATTCTGGGGAATGGAAGGTAGTTGACGTCAAGGCGTCGCTGATCGATGTGCCAGACGGATTTGAAAAGGACATTGGATTCGAAGGAATTGGTGACCCAGCAACTGGATTTTACTGTGTTTACGACAATGGCAAACTCAAGGTTGGTGACGAAACAAGCTTTACCTAGAAAGACATATGTACTTAGACACGGATGAATGAATCAATGAATCATGTGCTATAGAACTACAATAGAGGTACTGTTGGTCTCGTACTCCTTCTCTATTTACTTTTCTATTTGTGTGAGTACCACACGCCTCATCTATGTCGTACTCGTACTTGTAGTAATGGCGTTGTAAACTTCCAGAGTCCCCCTTTGTATCCGGTCGAGCACCTCCCAGTTCCACGGCGGAAGGTGTTCGTACTCGCAAAATGTAGCACCAACAGCGGTAGCCAGACATGCTGATTCCTCAAGCGACCATCCCCTAGAGCGACAGGTGGACAAGGCAGCAGAATATGAATTTCCTGCACCGGTGGGGTTTATGGGATTGCCATTCGATGTTTCCAAGGTGGCTGTGGGGACACTGATGTAGTCCACTTGCTGCTGCTGCTGCTGCTGCTGCTGCTGCTGCTGGTCCATTCCATCAGATTTGTCAGAACAAGTCCATTTTGCACCACCGCTTGTATACCGGTATATCCGACTACCAAGAGGCCCAAACCTACCAATCACTTCTTTCGTTCGGCAGGTTTCCTGCAGGTAACCTGACTTGATCCAAGCATCCACCAAATGAGAATCTGGAACGATCATATTGATGTTGGAAGCATGGGGTCGCAACCGCTCCTGAGAAGATGCAACATCTTGATGGGGAATGGCAAGTGTTCCATTCTCATCGTTGGTTGCTTCTGGAAAAGCCACTGGTTCGATGCACAAGTGTGACACCTGGCTCATCAAGTTCGAATCAAAAAGAAACTCGCTGTCTTGTCCTCCACCGGCAGCAGAAGCTCCCATTTCCATGATCAAGTGCAAATTTGAAATCATTTGTTCCTTATCCATGCCACTCTCAGTGTTTGTCGCGCTGCCTATTTGTCCATCTTGTCCACCATAATTTTGGCTCAAGCAATCCAATTGGAGTATGTCGTCTGCGCTTGGACGATTTCTCCAGAGAGAATCTGCTCCCTTTGGACCCCAACAATCATTTAGTGGTTTCCATTGAATATCTTGATGCTCGTCATGCCATAGCTGAATGGTAGGTGTTTGCAAGGATGGTTCTACTATCAACTCGATGGTATCCACCGCGGGTCCCAAAATTTGTTGCAATCCCTCTCGAATGTCCGGCACTAGTCCATTTGCGTTTCCCACTGGACCCAAAAAGGCGACCTTTTGTTTACGAGGCGGGATCGATGGAAGATCATTCATGGTTTGGTTGTTGTTTCGGGTCTTTTTATTTCCTTGAGTCTCGAATGATGATGACGATGACGATGATGATGTTGTTGTTGTTTCCATTCGTTCCATTACCGCCAAGGCAGCAGCTGCTCCCCATGCTGCCTGAGGTCCCCCGCCTCCAATGGTTATTATTTGCTTCTTTTCTGCCGTTCCCCCCTCATCCTCTCGATTGCTACGACTGTTGTCGTTCTCTACTACCGGTAGTGGAGGAGATCGGTACTCGTCAATGATAATCTTTCCAACCACAACGACGGGTCCATATGCTTTATTGAGGTCATGTTGGTGGTGGTGGTGGTGGTCTGATTCATCATCATCATCATCATCATCATCCTTTTCTATCCGACAGCGTCGTCGACGTTCCCACGTTGGACATTTCTGCACAATAGTGTTTTGTGCGCTTGAAAAAGCAGCAACATGGATAATATGACATCTTTGCGTCTGCAATATGCCAGTCTCATCCAAAATCATACTACCGAGAAGCATGAGAATGCACCACATCCTTATCATTCTTTGCCGTATGATGAACATTCTCCTTGTCATGATGATTCCACCAGAGGAGGAGTTGGAGTGGGTACTACGTGTACCATTCTTTTGAACTAGAGCCATCAGCACTATGATGATGGAAGGAAGAGACGGTTGATTCAATGGCGTGCAATGGTAGAACACTATTGCTGAAATCTGAAATCTCACACGACGGAGTACAGAGCAGCCGGGAGTTGAGGGTTCATTGCGATGAGATTCATCAGTACCTACAGTATCACATGTCATTTTTCCCACATCATCGTGCGTCATGACGAATCCCCCGTTTGGAACGGGGGGGGGGGGACTTGCCCTTCATAATGCCAGACAGCTATTACTGTATGAGCAATTCACAGTCCTTGATGTTTATATCGTACGGTATTGTATTCTGATGGTGTTTCCAAATTGAAGCATTTGATCTACATTTGTCAGCAACCAAGAGGTCTCCAAGTTCACGCATTATTATATATTATGTAGCGTAACTAATTGATTCATTCATTCATTCCGTTGGAGATTTTCAGACGAGCGTGTTTATTACCCCAATTTTTCATTGTTGATTCTGATCGTGACTGGTCATTCATTCAAGTCGTGTGAGGCCACTTCTCCCAATCGTAACCTGTATTACTACAAACTACAATACGATACATACAGTATTGGACAGTCTATTCAATACTTTGGCCAATCTGTAAATTATACTTAGTACCGGTATTATGTGTTGTTAAAATTGGCATTGGTGATTGGTAATTCTAATAAGATGGTTCATTCGACAGCAATACTTCATGAAAAGAAAAGGAGCGTCCTTTTTCTTGTCTTGTGGGTTGCTGGAAGATTGCGGTGGAAAGCCGCTATATATGAAACATGACTGACAAAAAAGTAGACCGGCAGAAGTAACTTCTGCCGGTCTCAACAGCAAGATTTGAATCATTGCATGGGATATAACGATAGACGATTCGTTCATTCCTTCATTCCTACGGAGATGTTGGTTCCCCTCAAGCCAGCTGCGACTTGTGGTACCCAATCATTCCTTCAACATCCCAATCCAGTGTCTTGTCAATCAGGTTCTTGATCTTGGGCTCCAGTGTGTAGGATGACAATCGTTCTGGAGCTGCAGGACTTGGTGTGCATTGCATCTTTGTTCCAGTGATTTCTTCCACGTACTTCAAGAACGATTCCGTCCCATGCGTCAACAGGTCCTCGTATCGGAGCACTTCCAAGGAAGCTACCCAATCCCATGATTCAATGGACATTATGTTTTCAATTTTGGCTTCGCGCAGATCCAAGATGGAATTGAACGGCTTACCAGAACCATCCTGTTGAAGTTCGTATTGAGGATCTCTTGCAGAGTAGTTTGGTTTGTTCCCTTGTCGTTCGACATGATCTTGTTTGGTTCTGAGACAAGGAATTACCTCGTTGAAAGCGTATCCCAATTGACAAACTGGACCTTCAATCTTCGAAAACATCAAGTCTCGTTGTGGGCGTTCCATAGTCCAAGGCCTAGTCAAGAACTCTTGCATGGGCAGTCGAAGATGATTTGGAGAATGATGAGGCCGCCTTTGCATAGCCGCAGCCCAGGCATAAGGATTGCGAAAGACGGACACCACCAGGGTACTGCTTCGTTTCATTTTGATCGCTTCAGCAGCATTCCGGTGAGCATAGTAAGCAGGATCACCTTCATAGTCTTCATCATATTGAAAGAAATGCTTGTCTTTGGTGAGACCAGAGCGAACTTTGATCCCAGAGGCTTCAAAGCACTTGCGAAGTTCATCTGTCATCCAAGTGGTGCCACTGTTTCGTTCTCCCAAGAGAGCAATGTCGCGAATTGGGCCGTAGGCTTCCTTCACCTCTTGAAGTCGTTGTCTCTTTGCGTCTTGCATGTTATCCGTCCCATCAAATTTAAAGGCATTGATTTGCTTGACAAAGGAGAGCTTGGATTTTGCAGTTTGCCCGATCAGAAGACCAATGGCAAAGGAGACCATTAGGAACCTCAGCACTTGCGCTCCTCTGCTACTTGTGGCGGTCTGCGATCTCGGTGAGTTCCTCGGTGAGGGTCTCGGTGAGGAACTTGGTGAGGATCTCGGTGAAGAGCTTGGTGAGGATCTCGGTGATCTTCGGTCCATATTGAATTTATTGTAATTTTGTGTTGTAAATATTAGAATGGCTGGAAGGAGATTGCAAATTGGAATGGTCTTCAATCTACAGATATTGATAAAAACGGACAGCCTCCAAATACTGTCAACTTGTGACGGGCCAACGGGTATTCTACTGTCCTAGCGACAGCAAAATGTCTAATTGATTTATTCAAAATGAGGATATATAAAGATTCAAATGGTCTAAGTATTCAGGCTAAAAATACCTTCCGTACAAGCGCGCTGGCACTAATCGTAAAATTGCGTTCAAAATCCAAAAGTTTGAAAAAAATCGGCATCCGGGAACCAACCGTTGCTGACTGGCACGTGTTCCGGAATACTTTCCGACTCAAGAAGAACGCTTGGGGCTTGTGCAAAACGATATAGTACCAGTTCAATGTGTTATTATGCTCTCTTGCCATTGTGCTCCAGCCATACCAAAGCATCATTAATACGGTAGCATGTGATTCATAATTCTCCATGTGTTTGAAGAAGGGCTCCAATCGAATCAAGTCGTCCTTCATTCATGCAAGGGCTCCACTCGAAACGAGTTGTCCTTCATTCATGCATAGCATTATTAGTCTAGTCACGCCATGATCAAATTGATTGCTGATTTATATACGGTAGACGAAACCCAAGAGTACACTAGTAGTCTCGTCAAGATACAAAGCGGAGTAGGAAATATAATATCAGTTCAACATATGATTTGCGTTCTCATCTACCATCACCATGTTGGAAGATGTGGCTTTTTTGCAGGCCTGGCTCAACTGATGACACATCAATCGACATCCATTATGCACTCTGATCTCGTTCATGAAAGTGACTTTATTGGTGGCCAAATTCGTGCACCTCCAGAGGACTGCAAGATCAAAAAATCCTTGTCTCCTTCGTAATGAAATACTTCAGCTCATCCTTTTGGTGCACTGAGAGAAGTTGGTCTTGATTCTCCGTAATGGAATCAGTCGATAGCCTGTCACCGCGATATTTTTAATAAATTTGTATTCATCGGTAATAACTACCGGTAGTCTTCTGTGTAATGAATATAATGCGCTCTGTGTTCATCACTCTCGATTTCATCATCTTCTTACTTTTGCAATGCCAGTGTCAGGTCCAACAGGGCTTGGATTGTGGCAATGCTACTTCGATGCAACAGATACATCATCTGGTGCTGTAATCATCCTATTGTTATATTACGCATCATCGTCCGATGTTGTCGTCACGCCTCAATATATATTATAGCAGGGCTCATTCATTCAGTAGTTGCTCATTGACCTGACCGAGAGTAGGTAGATGTGGACGCAGTCGAAAGAGTAATAAGTATTAAGCTGCACGTCAACTAAAGTGCTTTTGAACCGTGTGCCTGAAGTAACGGATGCCGCTGGTTGACGATCATGATGATGATGATGATGTCGATGGTGCTGATGCTGATGCTGATGCTGATGCTGATGCTGATGCTGATGCTGATGCTGATGCTGATGCTGATGCTGATGCTGATGCTGATGCTGATGCTGATATCGATGCTGCGATGATGATTTATTTTTCAGTTTCAATTTTGCAAACAAGTCCCCCTTTGTTGGCTCCCCCATGTATACATTGAAATAAATGTCTCCCCCAATACTACATATAGTACAGTACATCATTATCATCGCCACATCGCATACCGATATCTATACTGTATCTTTCGTTGATCGCTGCCGCAACAACATGACGACAAACTAAACTCCTATGTCATTGAAACAAAAGTCACTGTATTTGAAACTGGTCATTCCAAAAAGACTGTCTCGTCAGCTTAGCTGGATCTTGGTTTTGTTGCTTTTATTAGCAGGAACATCATCGTTTGCTGAATCCAATCATACCGGTACGGATGAAACCACCGCCGTAATGTCTGTCAGCCAGTCACAAAACGTGCCACCTATACCTGGCAATAATATGGAGTTGGGTGTGGAATCGTCCTCACCCTCAAACAACAAAGGTGGTGAAAGCTCACATGATCAGATATCTGGTCAGCGTTCATCTCCGATCATAACAGCCGAACCTTCGAATCATACTTTCATGCCTTCATCATCATCTGAAGCTCATGATACGTACAAGATTCTTGGGGTAAAAGGACGAGACAGGGTGGAGAAGAAGAATACCACGAAGCCTACCTACATTACATCACGTCTACTATCCCTACGATCAAAGTTCCAAACAAAGGTCAAACGAGCGGTCTGGAAATGGCATGGCAAGTTGATTCCAATACTTCATTGGCAAGACTGGGTGGAAACTCGATTCTTCTCTCATTGTCTGACGAAATCAAAAGGATCTCCCGCACTACCACCACCACCACCTCCTCCTCCTCCTCCGAAGGAACTCTTTGTCAATCTTCGCGTCCTATGGAACAAGGTCATCTCATCACTGGATCCAACGTCGCCAGTCTACGAAGGAAAGGTGATATCCAATCCGAATGTGGATAAAAGCAACCGTGATGGTAATGATGAAGCAACAGACACGATACCTACAACTTCTTCCGTATCGCGTCTACCCAATAAGTCCGATTGGTGGTCGTATCGCCTACTGCCTCCTACTACTCGATGGATCCTTGCCATTATTCCATCGTTTCTCTTCCCACGCTGGTTTCATGCCAATATCGAATTGCGAACAGCCTATTTGAATCGAGCTGTCGATCACATGATCGATCGGCGGATGCGCATATGGGAAGAAGAAGCCAAACAAGAAGATTATTTACTGCAGCAGCGGAAGGAGCAGCATCATCCTAAGATGATGATTCGAGAAACTCCAAGGCCCAATAAGATACGCTTGGTTATTTTGGGAGCCGGATACGACACTCGTTCCGTTCGTCTACTTCAGCAAGGTCGGGTGGATCAAGTTTGGGAATTCGATCTTCCTCCAGTCATGGAATCCAAACGATGGCTATTGAACCGACGAGGACTGTGGAATGCTCCGATTCCGTTTCATCAATGGGAACAAGGCAAGCCTCTGAAGAATGACACTCTGAAGAATGACCAATCGTCATCGGGCACGACGCATGAGAACAACAATAGTGACATTACTAGCACTACCGCCTCTATTCAAGAAACGAAAGGAATGAAAGTGGCCGATTTGCAATGCATAGGCTTGGACTTGAATCAGCCTGATAACTTTCGTTTGGCGATGGAATATCTTGTGCAGGAGAACACGGATGCTACAAGTGACGACTCATCGTTAGGTGCCAACGAATGGTATACGATTGTGATATCAGAAGCTCTCTTTCTTTACCTCGAACCCGACATACCAGCGCAACTATTGACTATTTGCCAGAATCTGTTTTCGTCAGAGAATCGTCGGATACAGAAAGGCGGGGAAACAGGGTCGACGTCCCATTCTCAATCACCACCACACAGTGAATCGCTTGCCTTTTGTTTTGCGGACCGCTTATTGGAAGTTCCCCTGGAACAATCTCACGACGAGAATGCCATACAACAGTGGTTTGACAAGATTGGATGGACGTTGGTCGATTGGTTGCCCAAGGAGGGAGCTACACGACAAATGGGGATCAGTCGACCCATTTAGAATCAAACGATAATAGTCATTTTTGTTATGCACTAATTACGACGAGCAATTTATTGGATTTGCATGCAGCAGCATTAGTTGTTGGTACCAGCAGGCAGTACCTGGTACATCCATTGCAATTTCATGAAACACTATTACTCTTTCCTATTCTCTCTTTCGACATGAATGAATCATTGAATCTATAGCACGTGTCCTCGGTCTGGCGATCGATTTTGTGAATCGGAAGCACGTAGACTTGTACGATATTTCTACGGTTCCATTCGTTGATTTCGCCAAAATTACCGGCGTGCCTGCCTGTGCGATTTTCGCGGGTCATTCAATGATGCCAATCAATCGCCAAGTTCCAAATTCAGCTGGGAAAATTAAGAAAAGGCTGGTCTCCATCTATCTATCATATCATCATCCTTTTTGTGCTTGAGCATAGACTGTCTATCAAAGGCCATTGAAAACCAACTATCGAAGACATAACTGAAGCAGCCACAGGTTTGTCTGTTTCAAATTACCTTCAGACATCAAACAACTTTAAAAAACCAACGATCAGGAAATTCCTGGCTGGTATTCACCGGAAAAACCTCAACCTTGACGTGAATTCTACAATCTGAAGAAAGGATGCCAGAGTCTTGCATTGTCATTTTGGATCCTTCCGAGTATATGCGCAATGGGGATTATATACCCACTCGGTATGAAGCGCAACAGGACGCAGCGAGATGGCTGATTGCAGATATTACGACGAGTAGTCCCGAAAATACCGTCGGGGTCATGGCAGGGACATCAGTCTTGGTTTCGACGACAAACAATATTGGACAACTCTTTGAAGCAGTAAAATCGAGTCGACGTAAATATACTGGTGAATTCGAAATTGAAAATTCTCTTCAAGTTGCCTTTATGGCACTGAAGCATCGACGAAACAAAGTTGGGTCCCAACGTATCATTTTGTTTGTGGGATCTCCAATTATGGATCACAAGAGTTTTCCAAAATTGTCGAAAAGTTTGCGGAAGAATAATGTGTCTCTCCAAATCGTCACTCTTGGTGATGAACCGAATCAAGACAAGCTAGAACTTTTGATTCAGAACAATTCGGAAGATTCACGGATGATTAATATTCCAAAGGGGACTGTTCCGTCGGAATTCCTCTCGGCAACCTCCACCTTTGGAACTACAAATGGTTTTGCCGGCGAGACCAGCGGTGGGGGTATGATTGATACTTTTGATCCTAGCATGGATCCAGAACTGGCCATGGCTCTGCAAATTAGTTTGCAAGAAGAACAGACGCGTCAAGCCCAGCTACAGCAAAATGAAGAGCAGCGGGAAGCGACTACAGTCGAGGAGGACTCTGTAGAGACTAGTGACGTTGCAGCAGCTCCTGCGCTTTCACAAATAGAAGCAGACGATGACTACAAGGACGAGATGGCCATGATGCAACAAGCTCTGGCCATGTCGCTTCAAGAAGAAGAGGATGGACGGTTACAAACGGAAAAGGAAGCAGACCCGTCGTCATCTTCTAGCGTAGAAATGGACAACGAGCCCGTTATTGAAACCAAGACAACTGACGAGGATAGCAAAGTCGAACCAGAACTGGTGACAATCCAAGACAGAGCGGCAAACAGTTTCAAGAATGACGATAGCTCACGTCTTGGCTCCTCTCCGGAGAATGCCATCTCTCTTGTTGACATTGAAGAGAGCCTATCGGACTCGGATGATGGAAAACAATTTCCGTCGGCTGTGGCTGCGACTGCTGCAGCAACTGCGGCCACCATGTCGTCGAATAAGCCATTACCACCCTCCATGATTATCAACGTGGAAGATGAACAGGATGTTCAAAATGACGTATGGGAAGACGAGCCAAAACGCAGTTTCGGAGAAGAAGATTCGGCTACCAATGAAGTTTGGGAAAATGAGCCGCGTGTTAGTGTCGTTGCCAGCTCGATTGATCATTATGAGGCCGAAGCAATGCTGTTGGCATCGCCACCCAAGTCAGGAGGTGACGAGCCAAAGAGCTATGATGACGAAACAAAAATGGCTTTGATGATGCCGGCTACCGTACCACGAGACGACAACGAGCTACCGCCACCACCAAGTATGCCTCCGCCTGATGTCCCACAGACGACTAGCTCACAGGAATCGAATTGGAACCAAATCAATCAAGCGTTGGATGTCTATTACACTGCGTCATCGGAGACGAATGGTAGATTGGAGCAGCATCCCGTTCTTGGCTCAAATGATGAAACAGCTACTCATTATCGCTCGTCGTCACTTCAAAGTGTGGGTAGTAGTACACTACCTGTTATCAGATCATGCTGGTCCAATCTGGACCAAGCCTTTGACGAATACAATACTGCCATCAATGAGATATCAACGTTCTTGCCAGCAGGTGGCAATTCGATGACAATGCCATCATCCGTTCCGCCAGCCCACTTTGCATCCATGCAGCGACAAGGCGAAGAAGAACGACAAGACAATGTGCCCCGTGAGGAATACCAGAAGCTGGCAGCGGAATTGGACGAAGCGAAGAAAGCCATGGCAATCATGCATGGAATTGTGAATGAGAAGGATGAAATGATTGTCGCATTGCGTGAAATTATGGGAATGATGCAGCAAGAGCGACGAAACCTACGAAATGAAGCTGCTCCCAACGATGGAAATAGTGAAACAGAGTCCGAACGGGAAATGACCGACTCTTTAATACAAGAGATCCGCAAAAAGAATCGCAACTTGGAGGGCTTGCGGATGTCATTGGCAAACTACAAAACTCCTTCCACCACTGGCGAAGCTCCAGCACCAGTTAGTCAATCCCTCACCGAAAAGCGGCGAAAGAAGCGAGAGTTGGAAAATTTGCGAGCGAGTCTCAGCAGTCAGAAGCGGCCCACTCCTCAAAACTAGACCCATTAGCTATTCATAACTGTAATGTATAGAACTAGCGCGCAGATATACGGTATATCGACAGTACTGTAGCAAGGGTATCCTATGATAATAGCGGGTTTACATGCATATGGTGGATTATTGCAAAACTTGCAATTATTATTGTTCATGATTTGGATAATATAGTACGTCAAAAAATGACAGTTACAAACCGGTTGGTGGGGGAGATTTGGTGGATCGGCTTGCTTGCGCTTGCCCAGTATTCTGTGCGTGATGTAGAAAATGGCGATCGCACGTGTAATAACAAATGATAACGGTGTTGGGTGTTAGTTGGACAAAAGTATATTCAATATACCACGAGAACACACCACGATAAGAAGTGAAGGACACGATTTGCAACAAAAGCATCCGTTCAGCTTGCTTTGCCATCTCATCTAAAATTCATTAGATTGGCACTTTTTACGACTGAACCCGTGCACAGTGAGCCTTCTAAAAATCTTCCCATATCTTATTCATAAAAGCATACGTCAGATCAGATTGACAGCAATCGTCCAGCACAATGACAGCAATTTCCTTTCCAACATGCATTGTTCTAGCTTGCATCCTATCATTCATGATGGAGGACACTTCAGGCTTTCTATTATCCGAAATGATCTTTGGAGTCATTGTTTTTCTGACATACTTTGGTCTAGTGGAATCGAAGAATCATCGAGGAGAGGACGCTAATACGCTGAGCGACATCACCAAATCCGAGGCCAAGTCTACAACGAAGGATGTTCTCCAAATATATTCACGTACACGGGAAGAAGAGCAGCGTAAAAAGATGATGGCTCAAGCCGAAGCAGAGCTAGCTCTGAAACAATCTGAAATGCAAACTCAAGAAAAGGAACGAATTCGTAGGGAAACGGAGGCGGAAGCCAAGACAAGGGCAGAGCATGAAGCTCAAGAAGCTCGACGATTAAAGCAAATCGAAGACGCCAGGCTACAGGCAGAAATGGAACAAGCTGAACGATTAAAGGAAGCAGAAGAAGCCAAGAGAAGAGCGCTGGAAGAAGAGCGGATTCAAAACGAGCTCGAAGAAGCAGCAAGATTACAAGCGGAAGCTAAAGAAGCGGCAAGATTGCAAGCCGAATGGGAGGAAGAATCTAGAAAACAAGCCGAAGCAGAGGCAAAGCGGAAAGCTGAAGAGGCAGCGTCTCGTATTCAAGCACTCGAAGAAGAGACACGAAAACTTGAGCAAATTGAAGCAGCGCGAGCTCGTGCTGAAGCAGACCAGGCTGCCAGACTACAAGCGGAAGCGGAATCCAAAGTAAGAGCTCAAGAGGAAGAGTCTGTCCGACTAAAGGCAGAAGAAAAAGAACGCTTGCTGGCGGAACAAAAGCTGAAGGACGAAACGGATGATGAAATGGATCTTGAGGATATTAAGATTAAAACCAACAAAAGCACCCTTGACAGCACATTCCATGGCAGTATGGGATATCTGGCAGATACCGACGCTGGAGTCAATGCAGCGCTGTCTATGAGAGTTCGCGTCCTGAATGAAACGACAGGGCGTGCGAAAGATGTCGTGGTGCCGGTGACATCCGACTTGACTATCGAAGAAGCCATTTATAACAATCTCAAGGTTCGGGAAGCTGGTGTTCGTAAATGGTCAAAAGATATTGTACAAGAGGTCAAGCAGAAACGATCCGAAGTCGTGTGTTTGTTGCTGGACCCAAAGACTGTGAATGTCATTCACACTTATTCGATTGCAGACATGAAAGAAACTTCCACAGAGGCCATGCATATGTTGGCATCTCCAGAAGTGGACCAATCGGTCCGAATGATTCTGACTTGTCGAAAAATTAATGAAGCGCAACCCTTGGATTCGGAACCCCTCGTAGTCTCTGACCACGAACAGGATGTCGAGGATGTCGACAAAAGTGGCTTCTTGAGCATTAGCGATGATGACATGTCATTCGCCAACAATGAGTTGGACTCAAAAGATGAGGTGGACCCCAAAGTTTCTTCCCGAGGTGTCGACGTGAGACTGTCAGAAGAGGCTGAAAATGATACGACGGATGATGGGCCCGCAAAAGAACGAAAGAAGCAACAAAACGAGCGGGCAAGCAGTCCCAAAGGAAACGAAAGTGTAGAGGATGATGGGGGACATAGCGTCTCAGATGGTTCTACGTTCTCTTCTCGTTCCCTCGAGGAAAAGAGGCGCAGGAAAAGAGAGCTGGAGGCGAGGCGCCTCTCCATTTCGCCGTCTGTAGGTACGGCACCGCAAGCTGCAGGTGGCTTTTCTCTTGGCAGATTCTTTTCACGGCAAGAGAACCGAGAAAAATCACCCGAATAAAGTGTAATTATTGATTAGGAAACAAGCGAACTGATGAAGACAGCTAATGTAATTCAATTCAATGACATTCTACCTGTAGTGCAATTTGTTGCCTAGAGTGCTAGTATCCTTGCGAGTACTCGCGATATGTAGGTGCAGAATTAAAACTGCAATGATAAAAATGTTACGATATTTAATGAGAGATTCGAAGTTGTCAAACGAACGTACTTTCAAAGCGCCAGCCAGCACCCAATATATCGTATATATTCAGAACTGTTTATAACCTACTGTATACCGGTAGGTACAACTCTCATGTCATGCAAATATATACCGCAATACACAACACTACCGCATACGCCTATTGTTAGAACATAATCAAAATACTCGGTACAACCCATGATGTTCATCATGGATCGACCATCCTTCTTTCTCTGCTTCTTCGCCATCACTGGTGTCTTCCTATGTGGTCATCAAGCTAAAGCCTTTGATGAAGCAATCTGCAGTGCTGCCCAAGTCACAGCCACAACTGCATCAACATGCGCGGAATGGCAAGCTGTCAATACCGAGCTCACTTCTGGTGACTGTTGCGGACCATCTTTGGAAGTAAATGGCACTAGCTGCAACTCTTTGTGTACCGATGCCGTTATGGGAATTAATGGCAATTGTGATATTGGGCAGCAGTTCGGTAGCTTCCTCCCCAAGTATGAAGGTTGTCTAATTTTGAGTGTGGAAGAGGCAATGAAGAAGGCTCTAGCCTGCGAGGAGTGGGGCTCTATCATTCAAGGAGACGCTCGGGCATTCTGCATTCCGAAGCTGGGATTGTTCAGCGAAACCGATGAAAACTGTACAGACACTTGTATTGACATCATTGCGAAGGTCCCAGACTATTGTGTGGCCGAAGCCATTGATTTCTTTCAAGAAACCCCCATCCGTGATTTTCATGTAAATTGTACAGAAAAAGTTGTTGAGCGTGTTTCTAACAAAGCGGATACATGTATACAGTGGAAAGGATTGCTGGAACTCTCAATCAAGTCAGGTGTCGGATGTGGAGACCTCGAGTGTACCGCCGATTGCGAAACCCTTATCACTAGCGTCGAATCTAATTGCCCCGGATACGTTGCTCGGAATGAATGGCAAACTATTGCCTGTGCTGGAGGATCATCTACCCCTACAAGTGCTGCGTATATGGTGCAACCAACGACCTCGATCTTGATCCTACTTGGTTCCCTGCTGGTTTTCGGAGTTGGAATGGCCATTCACCTCTAACGTAGTACGCGTTATTGTGCATCCGCGCATAAAGCTGATGGATTGAAGTCATAAATGTAGTGCTTCAGACTCGGTGTCAGTAACTATGATATATGCTAGTGCCAAGTCATTTGTCTGTGAATAAGTATGTCGTAACGGACATATATATGCTGCCAACAGAAATAGTTTAGAAACGAGACAAAACAATAAGTGACATCTTAGTATGCTCCACTCCAGCTTTACAAAACACCAGAAAACTACATATGAATGACGGTACTCATACCAAGAGTGGAGTATTCTCAGTAGCGAAGTTACTTCCTTCTTCATCACCGTTTTCGTCCACGACATCGAGAACCAAGTCAAAGTCGTCTTCATCCATATCCAACTTTATTGGCACATTATACACCTCTGGGAATGATAGATCCTCTTCTGGTATTCGATGCAATCCAAAGTTTTCAATGTCGGCCCTTTCCAGAAGCAGAGGGAATATCGCCATGCAAAAGCCTATAGTCAACGTGATTGCCTGGCCGCTGTGGCACATGAGATAGGAATACATGAAAAGATCCCAAGTTAGTCGTCGGGCAGGACTGTCCGGAATCCAATTGCAACTTACGTCAGTCGATAGAATACCGTTGCCACTGCTGCTTCGAGAATGCACGTCCAAATCAATGTCAATGTGCCAACTAGCAACAAATGCTTCGAAGGTTCAAAATAATATGCGCAGGTAACAGCTGTCAGTGCTGCCTGGGATCCTGCCAAGCCAGCATTCACATTCACAGTCTCCATGCCAACTGCAGCTGCAAGCAAACTTGTAATTGACGTTGCGAGGAGCAAGTAGGCTAAGAATAATCTGCTGCAGAGGCTGACACCGAACAAAATAAAGACCCCACTCCACACATTGGAGATTGCAAAAATGCCAGAGATGCCGCAGAGCGTGGAACTGAAAATTGAAAAAGATTCCAGATATTCTGCATCATCGTCACCACTAGTAGATGATGCCAAAGGTGTCAATATTTCCGGGTATCGCAATCCGAGGCCTAGCAGCATGACTGCGACAAGCAGGTTAAACGACCATAACAATGGGGGTGTGGAACTCGATGGCGGGAAAAGCTGGCAGTGGACAAACAAGCATGTTGGACCCAGTATTGAGCAAAAGATCACCTTCCCTAAGATTCCTAGAATCAGATTGGAATTTGAAATGCCTGTCAATGAAGCCATAAAAGCACCGGCCAGGAAAGCGTTGGCACCGGCTCGAATGGGCCACATCTTGGACTCAATCAACGGGATGTATACTCGTCGGAAAAGTAGTGCTGCGACCAACGAAAGAAGGGCAGAAATGGCTACCCCCGGCGAACCAATCAGTAGACCTAGGAAAATGATAATACCCGAAGTAGGATTCTCGCATTGCAAGACCATTCCAATGCTCAGCACCACTTGTTCAAGCAATTGGTACTTCATATCGGTCATGTCTCTTGTTTCAAACACACCAGGTGCCTTGCCTAAGTAGTACTTGGAATTTTTTTCATGAAAAGCCCGGAAGACGCCCAGCTTTGGACTCAAGTGTGTCTCGTAGTGCTGTATACTGGAATCTCGAACGTTGAGAATGACAGCCTTGGTTTGTCCAGGCACTCCTCGAGCCACACCTGACGACTGTTCCCAGAGTGGCTTGAGTTTCGTATCGACAAGTCCTTTGGATGCGCCTTCTATCTTTTTCCAACCCGGTTTGATCTTGTCGTCAATGATTTCTTGGGATTTTGACTTGACTGTGCCAATTGCCGCATTGGTACTGTCTTGGATCCCTTTCCATTGCTTTTTGCTTGAAGACTTCCAGTCTTCAACTGTTTGCCGCAATTCGTCCAGATTCTTATTGTTATTTTCTCCTCCCTTGACATCAGCAGGTTGAGCAATTTGAGCTTCTGAGGCTGAGGAATCCTGCACGATTCGAATCTTGTCCTTTATGGACCGCGATGACTGAAAAGAGATTGCTGAAACGTCATCATCCCCGATTTGAGTGTTTACATTTCCCACTGGGACATTTGGTCTCGTGTTGAAGTCTTTGGCGTCCTGAATCAGGGCTGCTAAGTTGTCCGTGGCTTCCTGAGCGCTTTCGTTCTTGTTCATTGAGTTGTATGGTTGGTCAACACCGATGGTATAGAAATAAGGTAATAAATAATGAATCAATTCTGCGTTTTGAATTTCCGCAATCTGTTTTTCAAAACGGCTTGAAGTCGAACGAGTCCAATAAATATTGATTATAATATATTACTCGTAGACAATAAGATAAAATAAGAATATATACACATGCAAAAGCATATTTCAGTTGGGTACAAATAAGGCCTTCTTTCCATGTGGTCACTACTCTTATCAGGCTCGTGATATTCTATTGACAGTCTATGTTTTGTCACAATAAAGAGCAGCCGTCAACGATCGAAGCCGAAGAAGAGGTTGCAGTGTGGACCGACCGATTGCTGTGTGATCATGCATGAACGAACACCGCGAACCGCACCGCATCGCACCACACCCCATTGCATTCAACGTTTATTTCACTTTCTTGGGTCGTGAACGAGTATCATCGCTCTCGGCTTTTGACTAGATACATCCATCAGTTGAACAGAGCGAAATAAAGTTTTGGCTGGAACTAGATACGCGCCTCCGTACTTGTGGTTGACGTCAAATACTCCAATCAACGGGTTGTCATTCCTGTACTTTTCTGTTTCGACCATTCCAACAACAGGAGAAAAGTGACCACCAACGAGCGCAAGACACATGTTAGCTGGTAACCACCAGGGTACGGCAAATCCAAAGAGAACTGGTCGGAGGTAGTTCAAGACAACCCTGCAGTTGGGATCTTCTAGTCCGCGCTTGATCGCAGTGAGGAACTCCGGAAAGGAACAAGAACCCGGAAACATCTCCAAGTTGGCTGATCGTTTAGCTGTACTCCCGTTTCCGGACGGAGATTCGTCACCGTCATTATCGTTGGCGGTATCCCAGGCAGACATTCCTTGCCATTTTTCTGGGTCGGCAGGTTCTGACTTCTGAGGTGGAATTTTTTCTGTAGGATAGCCAGGAAATGACTTGAGCGTACACCGTATTGTTGCCGAATTACAGTAACCTTCTCGCTTTTGATATTCCAAGGCATCTCCGTCTATGTACGGCCTTGCTGATTCCTTCTTCCACAGTTGTCGAATCAATTCTTTGTCTTGATATTCCGGAAGTGAATTAATGGGATTGGCATGGGCTTCCCCCACAGCCTTGTAGATCAGCTTCAATTCTGATAGTTTTATTTTCCCTCTCAAGATTGTGCTCACTACGTAAGATGGCACAATAAGACTGAAAACGACGTTGATAATGAAGAATCGGGACACCTGCGAAGCCAACGTATTCACATTCATAGGGGAGAGCACCATTGGCTTCCCACTTTCATCCATTATTCTGCTTCTCTGCCTTCTTTTCCCGTGTTGGCGGTTTGGCGGGCTATATTTTATGTATATTTTATGTTGCGGTTTGCTCGCAATAATGACCCGATAAAATGTGCTGCTATTATTACAGTATGAGTCAGTCAGTCGGCCAATAAAACTAGAAGGAGATGAGTCAAAATCGCAAATCCAATGCCAGATATAATCTCCGCACCGCGACTGTCTGAAAAGTAACGCGCCACCGCATTGAAATTTTTGATCGTGGCATTATTTTACTGTAACCGATAAATATAATAGCATTACTGAAAATGATGATTCCGAATCAATAATGCATCTAATGAGTACAACTTGCATGATTCTCACCAGTTGTCCATGGATCACATAACATTTTGTTACATAAGTTGGAATACAACAAGATAACAACATGAATACCAAACAAATCTTCATGAATGCGGAGGGTCAAACCGTTCCTCATCGTCCTCTTCCATTTGGCTACGATGCGGAAGCTGCATCTCAGCGCACACTTCCAGCAACATCGCATGACAAGAGTGTCAAGACCACAAACGTTGTTGCTCGCGAAAAGCCAAACAGTCGCCGCATCTTGTTCAATGTCATCGTTGTCCTTTTCGGAATGGCCGCAACAGGTGTTGCTGTCTGGTTTGTCATGGATTCTAGAATCCAAAGTCGACCCAAAGTCCAACCAACGGAATCCGACCGTTTTACTTCTAGTGCTAGCCTACAAGCCGTTGCACCACAATCCACTGATCCACCATTAGAAATCGTTGACATGAAGCCTCTTTCCATGTGCATGGGAGATTGCGACAAAGATAGCGATTGTGCCCGTGGTTTGATGTGCTTTCAAAGAAATGCAAATACCCTGGTTCCGGGCTGTTCTGGAGGATTGGAAGATAGTAGCAGAAGCGATTATTGTATTCCTGTCGAGCTGCCTCCTTTGGCAGTCACCGAAACATTTCCACTTGGACTTTGTGAAGGAGGTAAGTTATCATCAAATCGATTGGAGCAACAAACATTTGGTTGTATCTTTGCTAACCACGTCTTCTGTTCTTTTGCTACAGATTGTGACTCAAACGATGACTGTAAACATGGTTTAATTTGTTACCAACGAACCGGATTTGTACCCGTTCCAGGATGTGCTGGGGGCTCTGCTGATTCTAGCCGGACTGACTACTGCGTTCCTCGTGACCTCGTTCCTGAAACCTACATGAGTTACTTGGGAGAGAAGCTCTTTGGAAATCCAGATGACAACTTTGGATCTGCTGTGAGTTTGTCTCAATCGGAGCCTCTTCTCATGGCGGTGGGAGCTGTAGACCGTGGTTCGACTGGTTATGTCAACATTTACCAGCTAGAAGGAGGCGATAGCTGGGTCTTGGCTGCGACCATCCAAGGCAACGAAGTTGGTTCTGATTTTGGTGATTCTGTTTCCATGTCTTGGGATGGGAAGTATGTTGCTGTCGGCATGCCCGAGAGCAATAATGGCGGAAGAGTCAAGGTTTTCGAACTGTCAACGACCAATTCAAATGACATTGGTTGGAACCAAGTTGGCAATGATATTGCTGTAGGCAGTCCACAGGAATATGGTGGATATGCCGTCTCACTTTCCGAGGATGGAAGCATTCTTGCCGTGGCGGAACCGTACAGCTTCTCTACTTTTAAGAGAGCCAATTCTGGACAATGGGTGCTCCTTGGGTCGAGAGTGGACATTGGATCCTTTGGAGGAGACTCTATATCACTCTCTGGTGATGGCTCTAGAGTCGCAGTAAATGTCAAGCCAGATGATGTTTATCCTCCCGATGGATACGGCCGTGTCTTTGAATTTGATGGCACTGAATGGACTCAGGTTGGCCAGACGTTGGGTGACTTATCCATTGGCGACTCTTTTGGCTTGGACAATATCTACTTGACTTCTACTGCGCTGTCTGGTGATGGTACCACTGTTGTTATGTCGTGTATTGATCGAGTAGCTGAAGATAGTTATGTGCGAGTGTACCGAGACATGGGAGACTCCGAATGGATACAAATGGGCGACCCCGTCTTAGGCAAATTGGATGAGTACGCGCCAGCCTCAAAGGTTGAGATCAGTAAGGATGGTGAGGTAGTAGCTATTGGAGACTACGAGTTGGGACGAGTCAGATTGTACGAATTCGACAACAGACTTGGGCAGTGGACCCTTGTTGGGGAAGTTTACGCAAAAAACGAGGAAGACCAGTTGGGCGTCGCATTGTCACTAGCCGGTGGGAGAGGAGAAGCGTATCTGGCAATTGGAGGCCCCAACAAGAAACATGTCCTTGGCAATCCTGGGTTTGCCACCACTTACAGGACCACTTTTGGAATTCGACCGGATCCAACCCCTGCTCCATCAACCGCACCGTCCGAATGGACTGTTGGAAGGGCAAATAATGGATTGATAACTGCATCAGAGTACATCTGGGGTCGCGATCGTGACAGCAATGGCGTTGTTGGAAATTCAGTGGCCATGTCTGGAGATGGAAAAGTCTTTGCTTACGGCCTCAGCAGTAAAACTGAGCTCAATAGAGTCGTGGTGAATGAAGACGATGGTGAAGGGGGTAAGGAAACACGCCCGCAGCTTTTGGCAACACGTAGTGATGATGAGTTCGGATATTCCATTTCCTTGTCACTAGACAGCCTCGTACTTGCAGTTGGAATACCCAATAGTCTCGTCAGAACAGTTGAAGGTGCCGGGAGTGTCAAAGTTTACTCGTATGATCCTGCAGGAAAGACTTGGGCTCAGATGGGCGGTGGCATTGTTGGCTCTGTTCTTCAAGAATCAGGCAGATTTGGTCATTCCGTTTCGTTGAACGACAATGGTGACATTCTTGCTGTTGGTGCACCACTTGCGACAGGAGTTTCGATCTTTCGCTTTGAAAACAATCAATGGGTGAAGATGGGTGATGACATCACTGTTTCGGAGTACAAGGCGGCGCGGCATGGATGGAGCGTTTCGTTGTCGAGTGATGGTCTTGTGGTAGCTGTGGGTGGTCCAACCAACGAAGACAATTGGGATGAAGCTGGCGCTTGCCGCATCTACAAGTTTGTTAGCAACAACTGGCAACTACGAGGCCAGCCGATACTTGGTGAGCAGAGACATGGTCTGTTGGGTGCATCAGTATCTTTGTCCGGTGATGGCAACATTGTGGCCATTGGTGGAATCAACTTTAGACTGCCCGAGGCGAAAGCTAACAAAGAAGAAAACGTGTATCACTACGGCGATCAGGCAGGCGCAGTATTTGTTTACGAGTATTCCCCAGAGGACGATTGGAAAAGTCGTGGGAAACCAATTCTTGGAAATGACGCTTTCGATCGTTTTGGTTGGAGCGTTTCTCTCACGAAGGACGGAAAGAAGTTAGCCGCTGGTGCTCCAGAGCATGGAGAGGGAGGTCACGTCCGTCTTTTTGTTTTTGACGAAGAGCATTTGTACTGGGATCAAATCGGAGATATACAGCGGTACGACGCCTACAAGGATGGGAAGAATGGCGGCTTTGGGACATCTGTTGCCTTGGTGGATAGTGCCAATGGCTGGCGAGTGATGGTCGGTGCTCCAAGAACCAGAACAACATTTGGTGGTAATCTTGGTCTCTTACCAAAATATGGTGGAGAAATTTCTGTCTTCGAAGAGTATTTGAATGAATAGATTTGCAATAAAGTAGAGTGTTGAAAAACAATTCATACCGAAATTCCAAAAAAATTCTGCTGAGGCCAAGCTACCGTACATAAGTTTTGAAGCCGATCCAATGATTCCCGCGGGATTTGTCGGATCTACTTATGAAAGTGATCGCGTACCCATTGCACCCACAGGGCGGGATGGTGGGAAACAAGAATTGAGACAATCACTATTACTGTAGTAACTTTATGTCTCATAACGTGCCGATGATGCACAAGTGCGGTCGTTCATTCATCGGTGATGCAACTGTCCGTTGTCGTTACAGGACATATTTAGTCCTTCGATGGCATTTCAGTCTGAGTCATTCACAGCTGTCGTCTGGCCATCACACTCAAACTCCAGTGAGTCAAGGAATGACAGTTTTGGTCGGAGCAGACAAACAGCAGACAAAATCAAAAAGGGGTCGTTTGTCAACTCTAGAGTCAGATGAATCATGAATTGATTTGATTGTCTACTTACTACTCCCGTACTCCAGACCCGAATTCATGCCAAGGGCCATTGTCCATTCAAGAAAGGTGCACAACTATCCCAAGGGCTTATGATATCCATTCAACCATAAGGCCGTGAAGAAGAAACCTCCTTGTCTGAGAAGGTCATAGGGACATTCATCAACAATGAGGTTGCTATTGCTTCTAGTAAGATTACAATCCAGATTAAAAGCAGACAAACTCAAGAATTGGAAGGAGAGATCTGATGATGATCCTCTCCTGATCTCACAATATATAAATACACAAGTTTATAAACAAAATATCAAAGCCCCCAAATATATATTGAGTCATATCGATTATGTTTTGTAACACGCTTCCTCTGCGCAAAGATGAGAGTCAGAAGTTATATTCGGATGCAATCTGTCTGACAAGGAACTTTGCAACTGGGTACGGCTGAGTAAGCTACATGAGACGCCAAATGTTCATGTTTTTACCATTTTGGACGACAAATGCTTAAACAACCACCCATATGGATTTCATCCTCATCTCCACAAAGAGTCGAACACCAAGGACGTCTATATTCTTGTGGAAAGAGCCAGAGACATGTTGAAATCTTACAGATTGAATGGCTTTGATCAAATCTGCTTTGATTACTTCATTGGGCAAACAATAAACGCCGGGACCAGTACTATTTGTGAGCTGGCCAAGTTGCTTAGTCCCGGTGGAGCACTGTATATGCTCAATCACAAAGAAGATTGGACTGGGGAACTGGGTGCAGATGATACGTTGAGAGAGGCCAGGCTCAAGGTGGAAGACTTCAAGCTTGGCTCCGAACACTAGCTCTGGAATGCGACCAATGTTGTCCCTCCATGCTTCTTGGAATCTTCCGGCAACTCCTCAATTGAATCTCATTTCAAGATATCCATTGTCAGTACAAAGGCAAATGCCGGGCTATACACTGTAAATCGATTTCAACCAACCACAGATCACCAACCAGCTGCCCCTGAGATGCTCCCACCAGCAGGGAAAAGAGATGCTGAATTGGAGACATCACAGCCAAATGAAAATGGTTTTGAGATGGAGTTGGATATCAAGGGTGATGGCGCCCAACATCCATCTGACCCATTATCCAAAACGTCAGCAAAGCGAAAGATGTTAGGCACAAGCGTCAAAGCACAGACAACCAAAGGCACAACCCAGGAAGAGACCGCAGCCAAGAAGCCAAAGACGACAAAGCAACCAAAGACAACAAAGCAGCCAACCAAGCCACCAACTGCCCCCAAGCCACCAACTGCGTCCGAGTCACCAACTGCCCTGAAGTCACCAGCTGCCCCCAAACCACCAACTTCCTTGGCCAAGAAGCCTAAGACTGGAAGCACTGACAGCAAATACTCCAAAAGGGGGGAAACTAGAACCTCAAACGCAGTATGGAAGAAGACCAACGCCAAGCTATTGGACACAGCATACCCACTGCCCTACCTCAAGGGCGTGCTTTACATGTTGTGGCATTTGCATGGCGGCGGCTTATTTACAAAAGTGACTTTACACAGTTTTCAGTCTTTGTTGCTACATTGGTGTGAGAAGGAGGCCAGCCATCTCAAAATAGAGGCAGAGAAAATGGTTTGGAAGTCAATTAACTCAACAATCCAAAACCTCAGTGTTCATACACGGAACAAACGTAGCGCCTATTCCATGTTTGGGTGGGGGAAAATCGGCAGCACTGGGCATGAGTGGACTGATGATACGCCCCCCAACAATTGGAAGGATCGTGGTAGAACATTGCTTTCGCCAGAGACAATGGCGGAGATCGACCAGTTGTCATTGAATACAGCCCGTCTCCTTTATCCTGACCTTGGAGAATGTACACTGGACGATTTGAACCACACCTTTCTGGTGCATCCAGGAATCGTGCAGACCAAGAAAGCGTACCATCAACGCCTTCACTATGATAGACCCAAACCTGAAAAGGGGCATACTTTCTTTTTGCACATGCCTCTCACTACCGACGGCATGTTGCTGAGAATACTGCCTGAGGGAAAAGATAGGAGTGAGTTTATCTTTGTACCGTTTGGTTGTGCACTGGCTATTCCAGTGAAACATGCCCATGCCGGAATCTATATCAAACCTGGGAGCAAAATCAAGAATAGTCGACTGCACGTAGTTGTCACGGCAAGAGACGCTGTGAAGTATCAAATGAAGGCTACCGTGCTATTGCACACGCATGCAATGGTTCGTGTCCGTAAGTGAACGGGATCGGCCTTCGCGGAAGCCTGTCGATGAAACGACGATAACAACACTCTTTTTAAGAATACGATTCAATCTACATTACTATCTTTCACATCTACTACTTTGTAAGTCAACACCCTTGTAATAACATAACGATTACATTAATAACTGCCAAAAGTTATCCGACAAACAAAACGAAAATGAGATGAGTCAAAATCGCAAATCCAACGCCAGACAATGGAGCGTGTCCGAAAGTCTTCCATTTTCCAAATTCGCCATATTTTAGGCCATTTACGTGTGGTCCAACTAGTCGATTGATATTTTTTCCAAAATATCACAGTGGATCAAACCGGGAATGGTATTCGGGATCCATCCCGTTTTTTTGGAAGTAGTCGTATGTGTCATATATTTGAGTCTAGTGAGTCTAACGCAGCGTTTGAAGTTTATTTAGCGTATGGTTGGACGAGTCAACCAAACGGGTTAGAGAAGTACTCGTAGTACCGGTACAACACATAAAAGAAAAATAATGTTTGCGCGGATGTCGTGTCTTTGATATCCCACGAAATCTGGAAATTTCTTTGAGCCTTCAAATTTTTAACCCGCAAGATGGCAAGCTTTGAGTTGCAAATCGATGAGCTAGAAAGCT